GAACTTTGACGGAGTTCAATACTTCGGTAATTGCTGTGACTAAGATGATAACTTATAAGTTTCTTTGTGGTGTTCTGCTCAGGATGCATGGCAGATCTGTCGATGGTGTTTTTTACTTAGCGATTTTAGCTTTACTTAAGACTAGGCAAACTTTGATTGTTTTTCACTAGTAAGTCATCTATATAAATTTTATTAAAGAAATATGCCTAAACTTTTAGCTACTGATATTCTCGTACTGATTTTAATCGGCTTTCATCGCTTCAATGCGCTTGAATTTTCAGAACCGGGCTCTTCCTAATTTGCATAATCTGTAATTGGCCCGTGGGCATTACGGGAGAATAATGCCCTACAATTCAGTGACAATTAACCAATCAGAGCGCGCGTTATATCGGCCACAAGCCAAAGCCATATAATAAATATTTATTAATACATGTATAATCTTCTCAAACGGCTATAGATGTCATTGTCTACATTAGATGCAGGGCAAACTATTTCTGATAGGTTGGGGCGAGATTGATACAAATTGATAGCTCACAGAATGGAAGGAGTTGGTCTGCATGGACCTCAGTAGAATACAATTGAAACCTTGCTACAGTGTAACTATTAACTACATGTAATTGGAGCTTAGTAAAAACCTATGAACTGAAATGGCTATCAATCAACTATGAAAAACATAGCTGAAAAACCTCCACTGTGATGAGTTACAAAGAATGCATCTTAGTTGCTCATTGTTGTTCCACAGATCCTGCCATATTTTGTGATGCATGTGTTGGGATCACTGTATGGAGTACCTGGTTTATTTGTGGCCTGTCTTTTCAGTGGGACTCTCAGGTATTATACTATAATTTTATTCTCATCAGGGCTGTGCTCTAGAAGTGCCTGGGTGTCCCAGGCAACTGGAAAAGCTTACTTTTACCATACGAGCTTAAGTGCTTGGCACCAGGATTTCAGGGTTAGGAACCTTTGAGCTCCTTGTAATTTTTCCAAGACCACAGCCTTGTTCATCTACTTCTAACACTTGCCAATGCCGATTTATTGGTCACTCTCTTTTGTTGACTATTCTTAGTCTTATACACGCACCTATTACCTTGTTTTGTTCTAGTACGGTGTCATCAGGTCTAAACTCATTAGCAGCCGTCGTGTTGGAAGACTTTATCAGGCCATGGTGCAGAAATAGACAGATGCAGCTCTCTGAGATACGTGCTACATTGTACTCAAAACTTCTAGGTAAGTGAATTTCTTGAGAACATTCTTAAATAAGATGGTAGCCTGCATTGAAGGTGTTCATTTATTTGCAAAAGCATGCAAAGGGAACGAAACTGCATGTGAGTGCAAAAAAATAAGCACCCCTCCCAGTTCATTTTTTGCTCACCCCCTCCCCACTTCTCCTCCTTTTATGCTCACCCCAGGCACATTCCTTTGCTTGGTCGCTTTCTTGATCTCCCCGCCTGGAAATTGGAAAGGAAACATCTGCTACACAGTGTCATAAGATGTTTATTTTTCCTGATAAACCTGAATAAGCAGGTGCCTGAGATTTGGCTTGCAAATGTCCATGCTTGAATATTGGCTCTGATTGGTGGCTCCTTGTCCACAAAAATTGATAGCCAAACTTGATACCAATTTGGAATAGTACCTGTACATCATGCTCTAGTCAGCAGGGACATCAGTACGGAATGTTCTCCTCTAAGGCTGGTATGATCCAGACCAGCTCCAACTGTCCTCTTGCAGTATAATACCGTACACAGCATTTTAACAATACCAGTTATGGTGATTATTCTGGGTTGTAACTTATCCAACCTTGTGTGCATTTTTTTTGCAGCTTTTGGATTTGGAGTATTGACTATTGGCCTGTCTTTTCTTGCCACTAGGCTGGGTGCCATTCTACAGGTGTGACATGAATCACAGTTACGTGAAAAATTATATTAAATATGACCTCACGTGATGTTTACATGACCTTACATACAAGTTTATTCAAATTCAAAAGTACAAAAAAAAAATAATTATATAAATTCGAAAAGGGGAGTTTGGAGGTCAACCTTAGGTCTTAATTGTCAGCCAGTTAATTTCAAGGTTTTTCTGGGTCAAATGCAATCCTTTTTTTAATGTAATTCCTGTTTTACAACAGCAACAAAACTGCACACTCTGCTCCTGATAATTTGAATGGCAGTTTTAAACTGTATGAATTCGCTTTTTATATACTTTGGCCAAAGCAGTTGTTATTCTACCAATGAATGTTTCTATGTACACATATATGTAACTGTTTGTAGCTCCTGCTTTAATCACATACAGTATTCTATTCAACAAAAACTGTCCACGTACTCCACATCTTTTTCACTGTCCAGTTGTACCGGACCTTTCGTGCTGTATTGCGGCTTATCGTTTTCTTTTGGCAGTTATTTTACAGCGTCTTCGGTGTTGTTGGTGGACCTGTTGTAGGTGCATTTTGTCTTGGAATGTTCACGCGGCGAGCTCATTCAAGGGTAAATGATTAACTCTGTAAGATTTGGTTTTTGTTTTCTTTGTTGTAGTTTTCCTGTCATGACCAGCACTGTTGATTGTTGTGTGTTTCATTTTGTTAGGGTGTGTATATCGGTCTATTGCTTGGCTTTGCTGTTGGTCTGTGGATAGGTATTGGTGCTAAAGTGTATCTCCCACCCGTCACTAAGGCCCCTCTCTCCACGGAGGGCTGTAAAGTCAATGTTATGTCCATTAACAGCACAGTTAATTCAACAAGGTACATTTATAATGACACCTAATTTCTCCGTAGAGTATAATTTTAGGGAGCTTAAGCAGTGACAACGGCGACCCCGAGGACAACGCCTAGTGAAAAATGAATTTATATTTTACCTTCGAATTTCGCAATTGCCTTGATGCAATCATTGCGCCTGGAACGGCAACGAAAACGTCACCAAACAAAAGGTTTAATGAGTAGAACACTGGCTGCGCACGTGGGTTTTGAATCTTGGAATATTTCTTTGCCGTCCTCTGAAAACAACAAAGTCGAGTGACAAAATTCTACGTACTTTAGATAACGCGAACGACGGCGGATAATTTTTGCTATTTCCTTTTGTAATTGAACGCTGGCATTACATATTTAGCTTGAGCAACTTCTGAGACCGTCGTCGTGGTTTGCGTAAGCTCCCTAATGTGTTCCTAATGTTAAATAGCAACACAACGTAGCTGCCCTTCTCTATTACATGAACTGTTACATTTCAAACCTTTGTTAGTCAATATATGCTCTAGTTAGTGGTGAGAAGCCATTGCAATACCATTAGTAATAAGAGGTTGTCGGAATTGATTCTTTTTGAGGAGGGAGGTCCTTATAATTTAGCAGGAAATATTATTAAGTTTTCTGATTTTCTGACTTGCTTTTGATGTGTTATGTTGCCATGTTGGCGGGATAAACGTTAATGTTTCCACCGTAAATTAACGAGAATCCAACTCATTTTTTCATGATCGCTCCCCGAACAGACGTCATCAGAAAAGAATTTATTCGTGCTCATTTTTAATGATACGCGTGTTGAAAAAGGTTTACACCTAATACTCCCGGACCACTATAGTTTTTAATTTGATTTTAAGAATTGGAATTGCGTCAGAAATGTTTCCAAAAAAACGACTCGTACTTTATCCAAGAGAGTGCAATAGTGTCTTCTTACTGACGGACCGTGAGGGCCGTATTGGGAAATATTGGCCTGAGTTCGTGGTCGTACGGATTGAGCGTAACGGAATCCGTACAAAAACGACCAAGGGCTAATATCACCCAGTACGTTTCGAGTAAGCTAGGTTAGTAAGTAGTTTATTACATGGCCCACGGGCCGTGCTCGCTTATTTGAGTTTGCCGGCTTCCAGAAACAAAAAGTACACGGCAGTCAGAACCTGGTAGATATATGAATCATACTTATGTTGTTGTTATTTGTTCCGTTCACTAGTGCTCCGCCACCAAAGGAGTATGAAGGTCTTATATTGTACAGAATATCCTGGTTATGGTACAGCGCCGTGTGCTTTGCAGTAACATATATCACAGGACTTCTTGTTAGCGTCTTATGGCGTGGTACGTCATGTTCTCGGTCACTTAAAACAAATCTTACGTGTAGCCAAAGCATAGGAAGTTGTTTGAATCGCTATAACACCTGTGGGACTTGCTAGGCTTGTTTTCATACTGGATTGCAAAAAGAGTAGGCGGGAAGTAACTATTTTCCAAGCGATATCACTTCAATTATTTGGAAATGCGTCTTCTTTCCATCATTCAACTCAGTCACGTTTGAGTATTCCAACTTGTTTTGCGTAAGCAAGTATCCTAACTCGTTCGATCAGTGTAATGGAATCTCCGTTGTAAGTATTTGACAGTGTTGTTTAATGGAATCTCTGTTGTAAGTGTTTGACAGTGTTGTTTAATGGAATCTCCGTTGTAAGTGTTTGACAGTGTTGTTTAATGGAATCTCCGTTGTAAGTGTCTGACAGTGTTGTTTGTGTTCAAGGTAATCACGATGGTAACGAGATAGACGCGCGTCTACTGTTCAGAATTGATTACTGTTTACCAAATTGCACGAGGAAAAGTTCTGAAGGAAAACAGGACGAACAACAACAGCTAAACAAGGTGAGCCAAGACATGAACTAATATTACTTTTGAGAATTTGAGACTATGTAAGGTAAGTTTCCTAATTGTCATCACTGCCTGCTTAACCTTGATCATGTGATGGGCAGAAATACGATTTCAGTAACTCAGCATGTTCCTTCTCTTTTTGTTACAGGCTGAAAGCGAAGAAACTAAACAGAATGGTGAGGCTTCAAAATCAGGACCACACATTGACGACGAACAGGAGTACCCAGAGGGTCCCTTGCTAATGACGACAAGGATGTGATTACGTCATGTTACGACTGAAGAGCTGATTTGGCGGGGAACAGAGTTACTGATAGGTTTTGTTGGTGAGAACATCAGCGGTGGATGGCAATATGAGGCTGAGATGAAATGCATGCACATATACTATGTGATTTATTGAATTTTTTTCTAGATAGCTGAAATTAAGATCGAATAATTGCCTTTTGTAAATTTTTTTTTTTAATTTGCCGTGCAAGAACATCTACTAAAATTTTATTTCACGTAATGTAGAATGAGGTTTCCTCGCTTGTTTGTCCTTTTTCAAACTGAATATTCCTTTCGCGCATGTTTTGTTTTATTGGGAGGTTCGTATTGGGTTTTTTGCTGTTTAAATGAATTACACACCTCCAGCTGGTCAGACATGTGGTGTGTGGTAAGTTCGCCGCGGTTTACTTCGCATACATTGTTCACATGGAACACCAAACCAAGGCGTATAATATCGAACGCGGGTTTGCATTGTTTATTAGGGATGTAATAATTATTTTATTGCCAAATTATTGTATTTAAACTTTGAAAGGGTTCAGAATTGTATAAGATTGTTGTTTAAGTTAGGTTAATATCAATATCGTTCGTAAACATGACACGTTATTAAAACGTAATTTACAATAAAAACGCGTCATTTACATAATTTCCGTCTCACGTAATCGCTGGTGTTTTTTCGTTCATGTGCAAAGATCCGCCCACGAGTTCAACTCTTCAGAGTTCCGTTCACTTTTGAGTGGAAGTGCTCGGCCCGATGCCAGCAACTCCGAGTGTGGTGGACTGGGACGAGGGGGAGGGGTGAGGAGGGTGGTACAGATTGCTTCAAAGATGATGGACCGCTGTCAAACCACAGAAAGAGGCAAAAAAAAAAAAAACGAAAGAAAGGCACTTCAAAGCTGAGGGTATCTTTTCCACTGTTCATTGTGGTGATTAAGATTTTTTGAACTTTACTTGAAAGCTCAAGTGCTTGAAAATGAAGGAGCGCGGACACGTGGACCCCATTAGTCAAGCAGCCATTTTTTGCATTGAGCGAAGAATGCATTTTAGAAAAATGATAATATAGAGACTCAGTAATATACATTTTTGCTCATATGCCTCCTCTTCATCGTGAATAAAATGCCCCAAAATATAAGGACCGTGGTCAAGTCTCAACGCCTTGTAACGATTGTTTCACACGACCATAGTTGATCAATCGACTTTTTTTCTGTCGGCCATGAGATCCAAGTGACTATGAGGACGACAATGGCTTTTAGTTGGCAATTTAAAAGTCAGCTCAATTTTAAATTGTTGCGTTCAGAAATCGAGTCACGGGTTTCAATCGTGCAGCCGTGTTTTCTTTCCTTTGCTTTCTGTTCCACTTGCGAAAATTGTAAAGCCTTTTAGAGTAAAAAAAGAAATGATAATTTCACGGATTGTTCGTTTCATAATGGTTTCTTCATCCGAAACAATATGCGGTCATGTGTAAATATTGGACCAGTATCGTGTTATGTCGCTATTTTGTTTTTCATAGACGAATTCGTTAAGTAAAAGCGCCGTAACGTTGGTTATGATTATTGATTCAGCTGTTGTTAAAACATGACTTGCTTGATGTTGCTGTACTTTATTCAATGTAACATGTGCTGTACAATCTGACACAAAAACAGTTTACATTAGTCGTGAAAATACCGTGAACTATATACACTACATGCTACACTACCTAGCTGAGAATCTTGCAAACACATTTACATTGATTTCCCTCGAATGAAAAGCCCGCAAACTGCATAGCCTTTTCATTGGTTTTTCAGGAGGAAGCCGAGAAGTCATGGCTTTTCTTATGATAACATCACCTTTTAATTTACAGGCAATTTTGGAGACGGTAAAAACCGGACACCTTTTGAGAGATACGTTGCATTTGTACATTTTAACATTATATTTTTTAAAGAGAATACCAACTTGTGTCATTATTAAAATACGAATATATTTTTGCGTCTTGTTTGGTCTTTCTTGATCAAATCATTTCGAAGCGTTCAAAGAAGACTGTTAAAAGTAACATTTCAAGTTCTAGTTTTCAGACTATGGAAGAGCTTTCTTTCAATAAAGAATCCTGTTTTATATAGCGCATTTTGATTTTTCGACTTAGTTTAAATTTTGTGTTTTGTTTGCCTTTGAAAATTATGTAAAATGCCAAGGCGCGAACGGAAGTGTCGCAAAATTTCCATTAATTGACAAGAAAGATAGAGAATTTTTATCATGAGAAATCTCTCTTGAAGGAAAACGAATAAGTTTTCTATTAGAGCGAAGCATCAATAACAAACTTTTATCAGGTTTCCACTCGGTACACTTAGGAATAGGTGCCTCCTGAATCTTTTCAACCTTATTAACTGCAAGCTTTTAAAAATCTACTATTTGTGTTAGAAGGAAAACAAACAACACGAAAATAAAACAAGGAATAGGCAAACACACGTCGCACACCTTGCAAAGTTAAGAACAATTCAATATTTTTTCTAGTTCTTTCTGTTATGTTTGCCATTGTACACGTTTTGTTTCAACTGTTAAAAGCAAAGGAAAGCGGTCCTTTATTTTGAAGAATTTCTTCATTGAAAAAGTAATTCAGGCAGGAATTACGCCAGCAATTGGTACTGTTTTATGACTTGTCAATTTTGATAATGGAAAAGGCTGGCTGCCTGCAGCTCTGTTTTGTGTGTTTCGCGGTTCGGGTTTCGGCAAACTACCGGAAAACACAAAAAATTAACTCGATATCCGTAACATAATCACACCTTTACAGCGTAAACGAGTCATTTTTCATCCCTCAGAGAGAAAACATGTTTTATCTTTACACAATGAAACCGGAATTAACTACTGTAGCCACTGAAAAATTTTTCAAATAAATTTAGGTCAGTTTTTACGACTGTGTCTGATGTTATCCTTGTGCTCTACCGCAAAAAATCGAAAACATCCAAACTGTTTTTCGCACCCTTAACTCTATTATAGAATTTCATAAATGCTGATGTCTTATTGGATTCACTTTTCAACACTGAACGATATCAATTTACACCTGCGAACTATAAAGGTTTCTTTTTTGTTTCCTATAGTGGGCCTTCACTGAGCGAATGAGAAAACACACATACCACCATGTTTCGCCGCTGTGACGGAGGACACTTCGTTACCTCATTAAAGTTTTTTTGCTCATTTTCGCGCGGCAATGGGGCTGGTACAATCGTTCATGTTTGTCAAACCAATATGCATTGCATGACTTGAAACGAACGGAGATCCCGCATTTTGCAAAGTTCACAGTCAAAGTTTATTTTGTGGTTTCAGTGTTCCGTGCGTGAGCTGATCAACTAGCCAAAGAAAAGCAAGCCGATTATCACCACCCATCCGCACACGAGAAACTACACGGGAAAAATGTGTTTGTTACACAAGCTCGTATTAATCAGGTGAAACTACTGCTTGTACTGCTTCAGTTCAGTTTTTATTCCGTTCTCGTATTTGCTAATTTTTTTCCGTCAGACGCAACTTTCCGTTGAAGTGCCGTCGTGAATCTTCCCGGAAACAAATCATTCAACAAGTCTCCTTCAAAGTCGTTTAGTTCTGCTGGTTGGAGACCACTCAAACCATGGCTTCGCGCGGAAGAGCCCGATATGCTAAAACACCCTTTAGTATTTCTAATCTCTGTACATGTCTGAAGATCTCGACAGTGAGAAGTTGATCGTGATAGTGCGAAAGCGAGAGATTGAATTTGACGAGGCCATCTCGCCGGGCTGCACGCCATCTCTTCTGCAGAAAGATTTCAGAGCCCTGGAAAAATCTCGCTTGAGAAACGCGTACAAAATCGGATTCACGAACGCCACTGCAAAACGAATATAATCAAACGCCATAAGCGCTTTATGGGGTAGCGACCTTAAGTCCATCATAAAGATCAGAAAGCCGGTCACATAGAAAGACAGCCAGCAAACTATGAAGACAGTCAACATCAGAGCAAAGATGAACAGAGCACGAGCTTCAGTTGCGATCGGCGCTCGCTGGTTTGCGGTTACTCCGTTACGCGTGTTGTAAAGGCCACGGATTTCTTTAATTTGCCGGTGGATCACCATGAACATACGTACATAGCTGATGGCCATGAAGACAGCTGGGAGAAAAAAAGTGAACACGATACCGAAGATGTTATAACCCAGCGCATAGTTTCGCCAGACTTGGTCGCGAGGTTCGAAGAATTTCGTTGGGTCTTCCCACGCGAGTTGAATAAGCGAGAAGAAAATTGATAAGAGCCAAAGGCCAGCTATAGCCATAAGTAACCGAGGTCCTGTCACGATGTTGATGTACTTCATGGGATACATGACATAGATGTATCTCTCCAAAGTTACAACGAGAATGTGGTACATAGTGGAGACGGCAATGAACCGGTAGATGAGAGCAGCGGCGGTGCACACTCCTTCCTCTAGGAACGCGTTGCAGGCAATGTTCAGTGGAATCCCCAGTAAGCCAACCAAGAGATCGGACACGGCCAGACTGATAAGCAGACTGTTGGTTTTTGTCTGCAGATATTCTCTGTGAAAGAACAGAGAAATAACCAGCAGATTTATGGCGACAACCAACACGCTTAGGACAATCAACAGCCCATCGAACACTGGGTTGAAATACGTGTCAGCTGTGACATCACCGGACACAGAAGGAGGTGTAGCCGTTGTGTTTGGGAAGTAAGAGACGTTGTTCACCAAACTCGTCGTCATTTTGGCGCGGCGTAAAACAACGTGTCTCTTATAACTGTGGTGTCGATTAACACGATTGTGGTCGCAGGTTTGATTCAGTCGAGTTATCTTTGAGGCCAGCGATAACTTGCTTCACATCAACGAATCCGCCGTCTGCAATCACGATACAATATTTGAAGTTGCCAAAGGCGATGATTTTCACCAAGGGAAAGTAGTACAAGCAAAACGTGTAGTTTAGACGTGGCTTCAGCCCTCAAGCTTTAGGTTTTAGGTCGTCTCAGTTTGTTTGAATGATAAGTTTTACACGATGGCTCTGTTGGCAGCGTGTAAAATGAAAAATTGTTTTTTGTGTGTGACACTTGTTCTCGTCTCCAGATGACTAACTCTTCTCAAGGAAACAGGAACTTGATCTTCTCAATGACAGAATGCTAAATTCTTTCACGAAGTACTTTTTAAGCATCTGTTGATGGAAGGACTGTGCTTTCACCAATTCAATCTTCTGCGATAGTGTTTGTATCCTTGAGCGCTGGCTTTTAGCCTGTCGGCAAGAGCGCGGCTCCTTCTCTTGTTTAGTGTCGCAATTAAGTGAATTAAAATCGAAATTTTTACTAATGTATCGGTAGACAACGTTATTTGTTTCGCCTCCAACTGAGCCGTTTCGCGTAAAAACGCCTACATCAGCCACTAAAACAAAATAAACACTCTTGGATCCTTCAGAATTGACAATAGAGTTACCTTAACTTTCTTCCTCTGATGGTTGCGTAGAAAACAAAACCCCACGGCGAGATTAAAGTAAATTTGAAGTGTTTCAGCTGGAATGTAGTTGCTGTCTTAGGCGTGCATTAGCGAGGCTCCTCTCCAAAACAGCTCTCCCTCGCACGTTGGGAGAAAGCCCGCATCGAAAGGTGCTGAGATTGGAGAAAGCCAACGAATTTGTCTTGTTAAAATTTCAAAGGAAACTCGTGCGGTTTGCTTCTCTAATTGGGTTGATTTGGCCTCACAAGGCTGGATGACAATCTTGAAGTAGAATTGTGTCTTCACTAAAGCGAGCTCTCTTAATATCCTCGACCTGTTCAGTCTTTTTTGTCTGTCTGATCAAACAAAGAAACCGTCTTTTTGTACCAATTGTGTATATTATCGAGTTTCTATATTGTGATGAGTCGGTGAAATGTTTGAAGTACAGCTGTTTGGCAACGAGTTTATAATGATTTCAACAGATAAGAGATTTGATTCTCGGTCATTTCCTTTCTAGCGCTCTCGGGGTTCAAACTTGCTTCAGGAAAATTCAAAACTAAACTTGCTAATTATCCCTGCTGGACTTACATTATTCACCAATGAAAGTGTGGAGAGGGGATTGGCTATCCACAAACGAGTGCTTCTAGTGCAAACAAGCACCATGGTCCTGTTTGGTTAGTTTCGACGTATTCTGACGTGTTTTTTATAATGACCGGAAAGTTGTTCTTATGAAGATGTCTAGTGGGAAACCCTTTAATGCAGCAGCTTTACCGCGGAAACCATAGCAACAGTGACAGGTTACTTTCCTGAGGAATGGTTGCGGGGCGTTAAAGTCCTCAAAATGACACATCCCGCCATATTTTGATCTTTTTCCTATTGAGTACGTGGTTATCTCCTCGTGTTGTAACAATTTTATTTATTTTGTTTAATTGTAAATTGGTCCCGCGCGTCTATTTTGGGAAAGTGAAACGAAAAAAGCTTTCAAGAATTTACTCTTATTTGCATCTGACAAAGTTCAGATTTGCTGTTTTCAAATAGGAGAGAGAGCACGATTGCCATAATGTTGCGTAAGTTACATTCGACGGAGTGTAAAATACTAAAAAACACTTTTCTCTTCATATTTCGTTTTGTTCCCCGGAAGAGCTGTCTTTTTGTGAATAAATTTGTGGGAAACAGTGACGAGATTGTCAGGATAGTGTTATAAATTTTAGAAAGCGCTTGGAAATATCCCCGGAAACAAACTCCCCCGCAAAATACACCCTTTTTTTCTTACCTCTAACCGGTCATTTCTATTGGCGAATATTCAACAACCGATTTTGTGCGCGTAAAGGCATATGTTAAGGTGAGCTATCCAGCTAAAGAGTTACATTACACGAAGCACAAATTTTAAAGAGAAAACATAATTTTCTGCAATAGAGCAGTTGTAGTGGTTTGGTCAAACAATATGACAGAACACTTGATTGAAATTTACAAAGCTTCTCTGAACTGTCAGCGGGAAAGTTAATTTTTATTTTCTTTCCCAGTTTCTCTTGTCACTGAGAGAGGATCCTGTTTGAATATGTCAATTTGACTCGTCACACACACCAAGCAGTATCATGAAACAAACCTTACACGCGCATTTCAAGAAATCTCTAGATTTTAATCGTGCCGTAAAGATTTTAGTTAGCGTGCATGGAGGGTTTTGTTGTGTTTAGCGCAATGAACACAATTCCAATTAGTTATTTTCAACTCATTAAGTGAACTTTTATGAATAAGGTTACTTTCAAAGCCTTTAAAAATCCCGAACGGTAATTATTCAGAAACTTCATAATACTTGGTGCATTAGTTGTAAAATACTGTCTTTCTTATTGTTCAATATTGCAAGAGTACTTAAACATAATTTTTGTTCCTTATTTCGTCTATGTGCCCATAGACACAATCAATGTAGTTCTTTATTTTCATCATAGACTATCATTGATAGCTGCCAAAAAACAGAGCGGGTTGAAAAAATGACTTACTTCATGTGTTTTGCTGGAGGGGTACGATTAATTGAACACTGTTAAATGTTCATGAAAATGCAACATTGCAACACAAGTGCGTTAGGAATCAAAGACGCTTTTTTTCTCCTCGGCGAAATAGAGAATTTGAATCCGTTCTGTAGAGTGAAAACCGAGAAGAATATCCTAAAGAACTTTATTTTCGAATTTTTTTGAAGTTAGATCAGGTGCTCTTAGTTACGCCTGTAATATTTCAACTTCGTGAATTGATAATACACTTTCATCACATGGCATCCGGTGAGACTCTGTTTCTTGGAAATAATAGAAAAATTATAATTATTTTAGGAGCGTAATCCTTTTTTTCAAAGCCGTGTCGGTGTAAGCTAATATCTGATTGTAAAGCAGTAAATTTCCTTTTTTAGACTCTATATAGCTCCAGTTGAGATCGGTCAGATTAACTGCAGAATGGCGATGTTTCAGATTATAAAGGAAACGTAATACCGGATAAAACAGATTTCTGTGTCATTCCTTAACTGCATGATTAGTGCTAAAATCTGAGACAAACATGGTGGTCCAACGAATAAAATCTAATACTTGACTTTCGCGTCATTTCAGGTTAATGGTACACTAAATAAATAAATGGAAAACTGTAGCTTCCAACTGAGGTGTATAACTGTGAAATGAAAAAAAAATAGCTTTGACCGAAAATTATCTTTGTTTTTGTGACCGAAAATTATCTTTGGTTTAACTTTTAGCTTTTTATGTATGCAGGGCCCCTCTGAAAACTGCATATGCCAATTTTGTTGATTGACTGTTTTCCATTGATTTTCAAGTCGAGTTTTTTTCCTTATAAAGTCTGTCGTCCTCGAATAAAGGAAAAAGATATCGTTTTCATGAATCAGTTTTTGACACTCTTCTGTGGTTCACCCTTGTCCTAAATAGAGTATTTTGCCTTAACGAAAAAGAGGAATAAAAATTGGGGTTGAAAGGATAATTCCAAATTCAAATTTTTATCGTTTCTTGCATGGAACCTAAAGATAACTCTCGCTTGGCTTCCCATTACCTTGATAGTCATAAAATGCGGATTACGGTCTGCTGACATCGGTTTAAAATAACTGACTAGATCGAGCAATAAGCTTTAGAATGGCAAATACTGACTCCCTAATCAACCCTAGTTTTACATAGTTCCTAAGTCTCATTATTTTTGTTCTGTAGATGTCAATTTCAGAAGGAAACTTTTTCGAGTTAAAATGACAGGGACATAGCCGGAATCAATAAATCCGTCTGAATTTTGTTGTTAATTCCACTCTTGTTTGCCTGTATCTCAGGATTTTAAAATAATATGGCCATTGATACCTTGCCTCAAAGACGATTACCTGCCAAACTTATTCGACTGGAGGTTTTAATCAGTCGCACGATCTTCAAGCCATGAACTGGTATCCGCGTTTGATTTGATCCTATAAAACACACTGACATTTTCAATGTTCACAGAATTTACAGATATCGATTTACGAGTTTCAAGATCTTGTAACGATCATTGTTTTAAAGTCTTTTTTTTTTTTTCGCGTGCGTGGTTAAATAAAGTAAGAGAAAAGTACGGGTACCTGAGAAAAGTATATAAAAACATCAAAGTTATTGCCATATGAAAGGTACAAGGAATATGTAAAAGCAGACCGTTTGCTGCAGCTTAGAAAGAGAGAAGAAAGATGGAAAGTTCGAAGCATCATGCGACTTTAATTGCTTGTTTTGTTTTCATTCAACACCGGCTTTGAGGTATAAGCTAGGCGATAACAGCTGGTTATTGTGGGCTTTCCGCCACACCGGATAGAGTTTCGTGTAGGCGTATTAGGTTCAATTCTTTGTGCGGAATGGAATCATTATCACGTATTTGACGAGAAAAATAAAAAAAGCTACATTATATTTCACAAGATGACAAAAGCAAAAAAAAAAAANGAAGAGCTGCAGTAGTAGAGCAAAACCAATAACAAATTAACTATTATAACAACAACAACAACAACAACTGGACCACAACTTTACCCAATCAAAGGACAGAACAGAAAAAAAAAAAAAAAAAAAAGAATTAGAAACCAAGCGAGACTGCAATCGACTTGTGATTTCATTTAACAAAACATAACAATTAAAGGGAGGCAAAAGCTACTCAAAGAAGATAAATAATTTTCTTTTAGAAAGGAAGGAAACTTGCAGCGGTAATTTGAAAACTTATTGGTGACTTATCGCAGTCGCACAGAACACACCAGAGTCTTTCAGTAATAATTTTACAACTAATCGATGTTAACAACGAAATGGAAATGTCGACGCGGGTTCTGATACAAAAATAAATGGAGATGAAAAGAACTTGAAAAATATATATATATCAGTGTTAAAATTGGTAGCAAGATTACCGCCTAGGGTTGTGCTGACCGTGGACCATGGAGCTTTGAAGTGTGGAAAGTTCATGATTTTAGTTACGATGATTCAGTTTGTTATTTCCGCTGGCAAGAAAAATAAGAATCACCTCAAGAGTTTTTTCAAAAGGAAGGTCGTGATATTCCAACCTAATTCCCTCTCTTTCTTCTTCGCCGCGTGAGGTCTGGATAAGATATCACTTTAACTTCGATAATACAAGGCCTTTGGCAAAGATTCTTTTTTCGCCAGAAATGTTGAAGACAAGGAATAAAACTGATTTCTCCTGATTGCCAGGTCATAAGTTGAATGTCACTGCAGTCTTAAACCACACTATTCTTTTCCTATTTTAATTCTGGAACTGAAAACTAAAGATTATGTTTCCTTGAATATGAGTTCAAACTGTGTTCGTGCTCAGACTTAATAACTTGCTACAGGCTAGGTAATTAAAAATTTATATTTGTTTTTGTTTGTAACCAAATAAATTGAAATGTGACAGGAAATACATTGCAATGACTTTTCTTTGCTTTTTATTTTTGAACCAGATCACGTCCTCTGACTGAGAAAACTGATCAGATAGCGATTTAATCAACGAACATGTCAAGACACACGTAATTAAAAAGCTTTTTTAAACCGTCTATCGAGAAGTCAAATAATTTTTTTCCAGCTATCGTCCTTGTAAGAAGCGAGTTCATATGCATCGAAAACTTCTTTATGGACAGTTTGCGTGTAAGTCTTAAACCACTAAAAATATTGTCATTTTACGTTAATGGCATTCTTGTTCCTAGCAGGTTAAGGTTGACCTCCGGAAATTTTCAACCAGCAGCAGCTTGTCAAATCCATTTAAAATGCTTTAAGAATAATGTGCACTGATTGGTGAGTAACGTACCTTTTCTAAGAACAAGGTCTTAGCTCTAACCCGAAGCTCTAATATCAAATCAGTGTGTGGAGAGTTGGGGAACAATTTCGAAAAACGTATACTTTCCTGTTCAACTTCATGCATGCATCTCGTGTGTTGGTTTTTTTTTTCTTAAAAAACGGACACTTGCGTTGCTTGCGTTGGATTAGGTCGGCATTCGAAGCACGCTGTGAACAGTAATTATCCAAAAACATCACGCTTGGTCCATTGGTTGCAATTTGTTTGAAGGCAGTATTTGATCCTTATTTTCTGTGCCTTTTTATGTTTGGAGATTGCTTTTACTTTAAACAGTATACATTATTCTTTTAACGTAAACTAAATCAATATTGTCAAAAAGTAGCACAACCGAGAAATGACTTCCTGTGGACTTTGTATATACATTGGGCATCGTAAGCACGTCAATCAATGCAAAATCGAGAAGTTTGCAATTAAATTTAAATTTCGTGTGACCAATTACGAACTTAGAGTGAGTTCCAGGTGGCACGCGCGGAAAATGTGTGTTGAGAACTCGAGCCGAGATAAAATAGCAAGCTGCTCGCGCACACTCCTCGCACGCCACGCGCCCGATTCAACCAGGGCGCTTATATGTACCCGGCCTTTTTCCGCCCTGATTCAACCCTTTGGCTATTTGCGTGTTTCGAGGCGCACGTTTCTTCTGCACATAACATTTATGGTGAAATATAAAATATCATCAAACAATGCGCCACGCTCTTTCGTTCCCAGCAAAATAGAAAGGTGGAATGGTAACCAAAAAAGAAAAATTTACTCTTAAGTGAAGAACTTACGGTATACCAAAATACCCGGAAGGCATACGAAGAAATAAGTTTCAATCCAACTCTAGGATATAAACTAATTCGAAACTAATTATTCAGTACTCCTGTTGAGGCTTAATTTGAATAACGATGTTTTACACTGGGACTGAAACAGCTCATTTCCTTTTCGTGATTTCTGCTCAAGATTGAATTCGATAAGAATCATTTCTAGCACACAGCCACCGATCATCCGGTTTAATTTAAGCGGAAAACAAGTGATAAAATCTTCTTATTTCGCAGCCTTGTTATTCCGTTCTTTTACAGTGGAAGTTTAAATGAGTTGTACCAGCCTGCGAAAGGATGGAACGGAAGGGGAGAGAGAGGGTACAGCTAAACGGCGTCAGAGTTTCAAAAGATAGACCGGACAAGATTGAATTTAATTAATTCATGAGACGAGCTCCAACAGTTTCTACGTTTCACAATAGTGAATACAACAAACTGAAGTCGAATCTCCCCTACAAGGCCACCTCTTCACAATGCCAAAGATTTTTCGTCACGACTGTGCTCTGATCCATACTGTTCATGGCTATTGAAACCTGCCCGCAATGGCTACTTCTCTACAATGGACAGTTAATTCTACCCTAGGGTGTCTGTTGTATTGATGTAACTTAGAAGCATGGACATGTCTTGCCGTCTTTTACTTCGCGGCAATTCCAACACGAGCCCAAAAACCTAGAGCGTTTTGCTAGCGATAGTTTTGATTTTGTGTGTTGGCTAGTTGATAGTGACCGACGAATCGTGCTCTGCTCTAAACAGCCAATCAGGCGTTAGAACAAAACCAACCGCGATGTGGTTCACGCTATTTTCCCGCATTCACCAGACTGCGGGAAAAGGTTACTGAACTATTTGCCAGAACTGTGATGGGTTCCGACGTAAGTACTTTTTTTCTTGGTTTTAGTTTTAAGTCCATCATTATAACAGTGCTCTTTAACATAAGTAAGTAAAAAATTGTTAGTGGTACATCAGGCAGTTCTTGAACAAAACATAAAAAGGTAACATCCATTTACTTCACTGCGCGGTATCACCTTGGGTATGTTTGTTTTTTTCCTTGATTTGGTGATGACAATGGGAAACACTCGGAGTCTATCCATGTCAGAAATGCAAAGAGTTTCCATCTTTCACGAAATTGGAAGACAGTTCATTTTCAAGGTTGAATGATGCAGTAACAAATTCAAAACTTGGCCTTTTTCCATGTTAAGAGAATATTTTTGTTGAGGAAAGAGTAAAATCCAGTTGTTATTTCTTTCCTTCAATCATAATAATGTGATAACCAAACCGTGTCTTGACTGGGGGGTCTGTATAAGCTGGCTTATCTACCGAGCTCGGGGACAGGGCAAAAGCTGCATCTTGAAATGCACCAACCTATTAAATGAGAAACAAAATGGACTCACAAATCAAGATTAAATTTAGGTTCACAGGGAGTGAACGGGTTAAGCTTGTACAATGGTTCCTCGAAATCCTGCTGAGAGGGAATGCTTATGTCAAAACTTTAATCTACTCCCAAACATGTTATTTCAACACTGTAAACATAAAAAAGCTGTAATTTTATCTGCAAATGTAAATTGTGAGGAAATATTGTAAGTTATGTCACTGATTGGCAAATTTTAGTGTTGCACTTGTAACATTCATGTCTAAAAATAATGATAAGCATTATTCTGACGTTTGTTTCTTACCATGGATCCTCTTGTCATCCATCCTAGATCACCCTGATTGACAATGAAACAAAGTTCAGTCAAAAATCAACCACACAACAGTTTTATAAAGAAAATAAATTGGCAGTGTCAGTAGTTGTCAGAGGTTTACTGTTCAACTACCCCAACCAAGCCCATTTAAGCAAATTCTTTGCAAATTGACCACTAGCATTTTGAAAGTTTTAAAATGGTTACTAATCAAAATGACCACAAATCTGTTGCCTTTGTAATGTACAGCTTGATTACTGGATAATTTGTTGGAAAACTATTGTTAAAATCCAAGATTTTTATTCATTAAATTTCCGGAAAATTTTGTCACATGGCCTTGGTTAGAGTAATCTCAATGTAAATGATTATGGAATCTATATTTAGGAAGGGTGAGTGACTAATAGTAGAAAGGAAGAAACTGGATTACAATGATTTGGTCAAACTTTAAAATGCTAGCGTCACACTTTTAGTTTCACTGTACCAGACATAATATCCCACAGATAAAAATTGAAAATGGTCACTGTTTATCACTGCGCTGTGCCTGGTATGACAGTCAAGCCTCTGTAAATGTAGAAACTGACAGTATGCTGAGAAAGATAACTTGTAAATATGATCTAACGTCCAATCCAAGGAGGATTACGGAAACTAGTGAAAGTAACAGTTCTGTGAGCCACTTGACTTGTAGCCAAGAAGTCATGAACATTGTACACATCTTTGTTCAAATAACTCATGTACATACCCCTTGCCTTGCTTTATCTTCACTATATGCTGAAGCAACTTCATTAAACTTCTGTCCATCCTTTAATTTTGCCATAGCTTCCATAACTTTTGAGTGTTTTTCACATAAAATATGCCGCACCTGAGTGTCAAGGGTAAGGGAACGTCAGTGAAATTTTACTTTTCCTTTCTTTTTCCTTTTTTAGTTCTGATAATTTGGTGGTACATGTACATCAAGACAACAGTCCCAGTTTATAATATTCATCATTCTCATCACCTGTTTGCTTGAAATTGTGATGATATGGTGACGAGAAATAAGATTCTGAAATATCATTGTTAGAGCTGACATAAACTTACCTTAACTGCTGTTCCTCCTTTTTTTGTCTTTCCTCCACTTGCACCCTCATCCTCACCGCCCCCTCCCCCTAAAGAATCAGAATGAAAGTGTCCCAAACAAAAAGAAAAACTCTTTAACTGTTTGTATTAACATCGTGTGATTTGAGAGATCAGACAGCTTTTCTAGACTCTGTTTCGTCCAAAGATGATTATTTAATATGGTAGTTAAATTTCAGTCTTTTAATGTAGTGTAAATGAGGTAGTTAAATTTCATGTATTGTAAATAGTCAGGTTTTAGGTGTTTAAATTTTAATAATTTATTTCGTTTACTTTAAGTGTCCCCTATTAGTAGAGGGTTTTTAGCCTCAGCTAGACTTCTTCGACACGTTAATTAAATTAATAAAGTTTTCATTTCATTTCATTTCATTTAGGGATCTAACTCTGTTGTTACTCCAGTGATGAAACAGACTTGCCTTTTGCTGCTCCTTTTCCTTTATCTTGTTTTCCACCACCCTTTCCTTTTTTAGGAGGCATTTTAGAGCTGATGTCCGACTATAATGGACTGTTCTGATCGCTCAATCTGAACCCTCAATCAGGCCGCCATCTTCAAATATGCCGATAAGCGAGAGACTGGGAACAAATATGAACCATTTTCTGTTGTCAGCGGTCTCACTATTGGAAGGTTACCACTTGATATAAGGAGACTATAATATCCTTTCCATTTCATTTTTGAACTCATTTGAACTGGAAACATCTTTTTCATGGAGATTGGTCCAATTCTACCACCACATCTAGCCAAAAACTTGAACTCAGATGTTAAAAAGAGTGGAAATGTTAATGAAGAAGACGAGAATTATGAACGATCTCAATTAGTTCAAGCAGAAGGCAATGACAGTGATGAATGTGATAGCTATGGACCAGCTTTGCCCCCTGGCTTTCAGAGAAAAGAGGAAAGTGTTTCTAGACCAAGAGTCATCGGACCCATGAGACCTCCACAGTTTGAACATCCCAGGGCATACACATCAAGTGGTTTGTACGAAAAAATTGTCAGTTGAAGGGAATCTTGGCTGCGCAATCATTCAAGCTCTAACTTATAAATATAAGCTTATAAGTCTTTAGTTAAATATGCATGGTTCTATTTGATTGGGCTATGGGTTGTCAATTTCTTTGTGGGACACTTGTTACAGAGTTGTCTGCATTTTATACCGAGTCTGTAGTCTGCATTTTGTACGGGTGACTGTATTTGTTAGTTTTCTAAATAGAGAGCTGTTAATAATAGCCAAGTTGCAGTCTCTCCTCACAGACTCCCTAGGGAGGGGAAGTGAAATGGGAGTGGGAAGGTGCAATTCCATTATTTCCTCTCCCCAGCCACAGAACTACCAGCCTACATGGTCAAGCCAGGTAGCATGAAAGAGGTCTCTACAGAGGAGAGAGTTACAGAGTTGCCTAGATTAAAATGTAGGCAGTCAGATGAACATGTTTGGCCTGCATCTTTTATTTATTGCTTTATTTTACAATCAGTAGATGAAAAGAATGTCAGCAGCGATGAAGAGGAAGATACCATTGGGCCGGCACCACCAGCTGAGGCAGTAAGAACTTTATAACACAACACGACAGCACAACAACCAGTCATTTATTTGCCAAAAAATAAAGAAAATAAGCAAAACAGTGAATAAAATAGCTTCAATAGGCAAAAACTACTCAGAATGGTAAATACTAAACAAGCTGATTGGTCCCATAAATCAACAAACTTTATCCAGGTTGTAAAACTCAAGACAGAAAAAGATACTATTGTTTTACAAAGGGTAAATTTTATAAATTCTCCTGGGTGGAAAAATGGCACTTTGAAAGGTAAGGATCTTGCTCAAACCTACAATGCTTGAATGAGACTCCAACACTTTGCCTTCTGAATTAAAGTATAAGGTCACCCTGTCTCTCAAAGCTTGATATATGCAGACCTTGGTTAACTAATAGGTTTTAAGACAGTATTTTAAAGAAATTTTTTGTGAAAATCTGCAGGAGATGGATGTTGGATTTGAAAGGACCAAGATGGACATAGAGGCTCGAAGTAAGGCTAAGAAAGATCAAATGACAGGCAAGGTATGATTAAACAAGGCAGTGACTGCACGCAGTTACTGACTAAATTACAACTTGCTAAATAAATTGGTTAACTTGTTTTGAATGAACTTTGAGTTTCTCAATTTCATAGAAAGACTCAAAGCCTAAAAGAGAATCTTGGATGACAGAACTTCCCCCAGATTTGAGCAAAAACTTTGGTAAGTGGTAGTAAAATATTATCTTCAAGGGATGCTTATTCAGGGCAGGATTATAAATCAAGGATCAAGAAAAAGAACAATTTAGTTGTAATTGATATGAATTCGTCAATAAAAGCATCCATGGTGCATGCCATACCAAAATTTTATAACTATCGGGTCACAAAAAAAAATTACTTTTCTATGTACACAACAAAACCTTGATAGTTACATAACACTCTCTGCACACACTTCATACCTATATTGCCAGCTTGTAGTCTATGCAAAATACAAGAAGTTATCATACAGATTACAGGTACTCTACATTCAAGATAGTGCATAGGGACAATGCAATATTGCAACACCCTACACCTGCAGCACTTTATAGTCTTGGTGTGTTAGGTTCCTATAACAGCACAGTCTACTAATCATGTCTGTAAATAGTACAAGTTTCTTTAGAACTTTGCAATTATAAAAGACAAAACGAAGGTTTTGGAGTAGCAGTGCAGCATGGCAGACATCATTGTAATTTAAACCACGCAGTGAGTGTTTGTGCACTTCTTAGTAGATTTGTGACTTGACAGGTCTTGGACCACGTAAGTTCCGTGCTCGTGCTGTTGAAGTTGGAGATCAGTCAGTGTGGACCGACACTCCTGCAGACAACGCCAGAAAGGTAAATATCTGAATATTTACACCCTTGCCAAGAACAGGAATTTGTGAAGCTTAATAAAAACATTTGTAACTCAAACGAAAGCTAACAACAGTAGTGCTGGTGATGTTGTAAATTGATACTCAGCCAAGGAAAGGAATCCATTTTGATTATGGAATGGAGATGATAAACAATAGGCCATTTCCAAGTTACCTTTAGCCGTGTTCTCAAAGTGAGTCTTGGTGCTCATCCTTTCATATGAAAATGAGATTTCATTCACATGGAAATTAAACTCATTTTCAAATGAATGGTTGTGCACCAGACCTTGCTTTGATAGAGAGGCTAGGGCAACTTGGAAATGGGCAATTGCAAAAATTGATTACTATGTGAATAAACTTGAAAATGTGAGACTTGATTTCAAGAGTGATTCAGGATTTCTCTGTAATAATTTTACTCCATTCTGATGCAACTTGTTGGGGTATTAACAAGATTATTGTTGACCATCTTGAGCACGCACTCATTGCAGAATGTTGTTGATGTATTCATATGATTGTCACCCTTGCAGTCAAAAGAAGGTGGCAAAGGTTCTAAAAGAAGTGCTGATGAAAGTGATCCAGTCAGGACTCCATGGGAGTTAGCGAGAGACCAACATATGAGCCACCAAGTTGAAAACTACAATGTAAGGAAAACAAAAACTGAAGTAAGCCTTGTACAGTACTGACTTACTGATTCGCTTGTGACACATGACAGAGTTCAGTTGCTCTAGGTCTGTGTTTTGTGAAGCTTTAGGATGAAAGCCTTATTTTAGTAGAGGATCCAGGTGTGTTCAGAAGGGGAAGGGGTGGGGGTAGGGGTGGGGACAATAGGTGGCTTTGGGCCTTACATGTTTACATACCCCACACCATCCTCCCTTGTTGTGCTTTACTGTTTTTTTACATGTATGCATCAGCACTATGTCTTATTGACTGCCCCTTGTATAATATTGGATTTAAACTAATTTTCCTCTTTAGAAGCGGCACAGAGGAGAATCCCTAATGGACCTGCACACCAAGAAACTTGAAAAGCAAAAGGTATGAAAAACTGGCAAGCTGCTGTCAGTGTTTAGTCTTCAATAGCTACCTACGGAACAAAAGTTTGCCTGGAATCACCAAGGAACATGGCCATCATGAAGTCATGCGAAACTTTCTCAATTGTTTTATATCGTACAAAAACGTCAGAGCTCGTTTCCGATCCTGAATCTAATGTAAGAGAAAACGTCTCCACGATGATAGAATCCCAGAAAACTTTACTGTAATTCTTCCACACGCAAATGGTCGACTCTTTTTTCAGGTCGTGATATTAATGTTTCTCTCAATCTTGTCCTTTTTAACCGGCTTACAAGTTTATGCAAAGAAATGTTGTCTCAGATACTATTACATCACAAGAACGCTCTGTTTTTCCATCATAAATCGTCCGGACAATAAGTTAACAGATAAATTTACTGCTAAACGAAGAAAAAAACGTCATTGTTTGCAGTTTGCAGAAGTGAAACTTGTTTATACTCGTAAAGTCTGGGAGACAGTTTCTGTATTTCAGTCAGTGGTTGTATGTAACGCAAACTTAAATTGTTGTTTGTTTTGACAGAAGGAAGATAAAGACAAGCCTGTAGAAAGAAGACCATTTGACAGGGACCAAGATTTAAATTTGCCAAAAATGAGCGATGGGCAAAAGAAGTCCGTTATCCAGAAATCCAAAGAACTTGGATCCAGGTTCCAACATTCCCGGAGTGGCTCTTCATTCCTTTAGGAAGTCGAACAACTCGTGTCCAGGTTCTCATGACGTGCGACCCGATCAATTGTACAAGGAAAGACTGAAAACGTTAAACACGTTTTCTCTTGTGAATATATAACAAACATTGATCCAACATTTTATTTCTTTTTATGCCCAACAAGTTTTTCAATTCCATCGTCTACATTTATTGGAAATACACCTAGAAAAACGTTCAATTCAGTGCAAATACTCCGTGACCTGGTGCCTTGATACGAGCCGAGGAGAAGCGAGCAGTACGCAAGGAAAGAGCCGCCAGCACTAACAGCTCAGCCCCTACCCACTTCTGCCCTACCTGTGGGAGAGGCTTCCTCGCCCGGATTGGTCTCATCAGCCACCTCCGGACACACCGTAGAAATTTATTAACAAACTAGATGTCTTTGGTCATATTCGACTACGAAGGACAAACAACACTGCAGCTGTCTGACACAAGGTGGAATGGGTCCCACTGGGCTAGTTTGCAAGTCGTTTGCAGATCGAGGGTCTCCTAAAACCTGGTTTGATGTGTACACAGTTTACAGTAACAAATTCATCCAGCTAAGCAGTTTTTACAATCAAGAACATGTATTTTGATACAGCCAGACGTGGTGGTCCGGAGGAGACACGTTTTGATCACGACCGACTCAATGTTCGTTTATCGGAGTTTTGCAAATAGAAAAACATCGGATATAGGGAAGCAAATTGGGGGCAGTGAACGTAGTTTTCAAACTCTGCTTTCAGAGTCGCTCAATGTCTGACCTTTACCTCTGACGGACTTAGTGCCCCTTTCAATAAAATGCGGACTCTTAAACTCAAAGCTTAACCGACAAATGCGTTTTTCGCTAGCGTCAATGAAATGTTCGGCGGCTCCTCCCAGCTTCCAACTACTTCCGAGCACTGTTTCGTTGTCTGAACTGTGCTCAACGATTTGATTACCGCACGCTCGGCAGTAGTCGGAAGCTGGGACGAGCCGCCGAACATTTGATTGACGGTAGCGAAAAACGCATTTGTCGGTTGAGCTTTGAATTTAAGAGTCCGCACTTTATTGAAAGGCGCAGTAAAATCGGTAGGTTATGAAATAACTGACTGGTGTTTTAATTTCCAATGTCGCTCAAGGCTATTTTATGCCGTCACAAACTCAACCCGGCTAGTTACATAAAATTTTCATCGTTTTCTGCGTAAAGTTGGAAAAATGTTACACGGAGGTGCTAAGTTTAACAGTGAGAATTTCAATAGGCCCTTTGCACGACCCGGTCACCTGGTACAAAATCACATGCTGGCACGAATGTTGCACCGTAGGACTCCAAAACAAAGCAACTCATACTAGTCCACCTTGACCTACCTTTGTTTTGGAAGTCCCACTGTACAACTTGCGTCCCAGCATGTGTGATTTTGTACCATGTGACCGGATCGTGCAAAAGGCCTATTGTTCGGCGTAGTTTTTGTTTCCTCTGTCCATTTTCAGATTTTGTTGATAAGCAATTTTCATGTTTACCAAAGTATACTGCTGGTGAGTGTCAAATAGACTAAACTGCATTTCTGTAAACGCTGTAAAAGCCGCGTCGAAACCCTCCATCTAATATTTTTCATGAAAAACATGAAAGGCTAGCTTCTCTGGGAGTATATCGAAACAATTGAACAAATAGATTCCATGTTGCCGTGTACAGTAAGAGATCACAGATGACGTCACAATGTGGTAAGAGCGGAAAAGAAGGCACACGATGGCGATAGCCGAGTTTGGAGCTTTATATGAGCAGATGAGTTATGTAACCAAAGAGCGCGCTGACGAACAAAACCCATGACACAAATAATCCCTTCAGTGATTTGCGCATTTTGCTGTGTGGTTTTTACCAGGGTAAGGTAGACTAAAACTGTGAATGCTTGTGGGCGTATATATATTTTTTCTCTTTATTAGCCTGTACCCAAGTCGAATAAATGAGTTAAAAGGATGGTATCGCTCAAGGGAATCACTCTGTCTCAGTTCGTTGTTGGTTTTTTAATTGCCCAACACGGACTTCTAAAATTGATTTCACATTTTTTTAATACTAACATTCTACTTAAAACTGAAATAGCACGCCAGCTCAACTGAAGTAAATTATAATAAACGCCATGTTCTTCGGCTTCTTTTCTTGAACATTTTGAATGCGGCGATCAACACCACAATAAGAGGCTTCAGGAGTAGCACAAGGGAGTTGTGTCGTAGGGGAATCTTTGCTCACGGTATATTTACATTTCACCTGATTAGTATACGTCTTGCGTAGAGATGGATATACGCTGCAAATATTAAAAGAGCTTGTGAAACTCTTTGGGTGTCATGTAATGATATTGGCATTAGAAAAAGTCAAAATTTCTGAGCGGCAAAAGCGCTAATGAGGCCATTAATTTGTGGAATTTTGAGTTTTGAAGCCTGCAGCCTGCGTAGCAGGTTTATAAAGGGGAGGAGGAAGAGAATTCCCCTCCCCCTCCCCCTCCTCCGTTTTTTTTCCCACTCCCTCCCCTTTATACGCCTGCTACGCAGGCTATGAAGCCCGCGTCACATAAAACGTGTTTAATAAATTGGGCTCAAGTTGGTATGTTTTTTAGCTGGGTCAGGGACCGAAGCGATTACGCTAATGAGGTAACTAATGTGCAAAAAGATTCCCCTTGACACCATAACATAACACAGACAGAAGTCACACCACATACACAGGCTGAGCTTTTGATTTACCAAACAGTTTTTACAAACTACAACTGCGTTTGCCAAAACCAAAAGCTTGCATTCAATGAATTGTGCAACTCTCCTCAAGAAGCTGAAGGTATCTAAAGTACAATGAAGCACAAGTTTCGTTACATCACATTCACTGCATAACAGAGCATTAACATTGCTATGTACATGAAAATTCAGGATGCGCAAGGCCTGATTCTGCTATGAGATGTAATGTATATAATCAGCTAATTAAATAACAATCTGGTGTGACCAGCTGACCTTAATAAATACATGTAATCCTCACCCTAACCAACAAAATAATTTACATTGAAATACGCAAAAGTTTCAACTAATTTACATCACGATGGTTTTAGCATAAAGAGGAAACTTATATTACAAAAATAATAAAGCAACACTTACCATTCATAATCATTGNGATTATAAATCAAGGATCAAGAAAAAGAACAATTTAGTTGTAATTGATATGAATTCGTCAATAAAAGCATCCATGGTGCATGCCATACCAAAATTTTATAACTATCGGGTCACAAAAAAAAATTACTTTTCTATGTACACAACAAAACCTTGATAGTTACATAACACTCTCTGCACACACTTCATACCTATATTGCCAGCTTGTAGTCTATGCAAAATACAAGAAGTTATCATACAGATTACAGGTACTCTACATTCAAGATAGTGCATAGGGACAATGCAATATTGCAACACCCTACACCTGCAGCACTTTATAGTCTTGGTGTGTTAGGTTCCTATAACAGCACAGTCTACTAATCATGTCTGTAAATAGTACAAGTTTCTTTAGAACTTTGCAATTATAAAAGACAAAACGAAGGTTTTGGAGTAGCAGTGCAGCATGGCAGACATCATTGTAATTTAAACCACGCAGTGAGTGTTTGTGCACTTCTTAGTAGATTTGTGACTTGACAGGTCTTGGACCACGTAAGTTCCGTGCTCGTGCTGTTGAAGTTGGAGATCAGTCAGTGTGGACCGACACTCCTGCAGACAACGCCAGAAAGGTAAATATCTGAATATTTACACCCTTGCCAAGAACAGGAATTTGTGAAGCTTAATAAAAACATTTGTAACTCAAACGAAAGCTAACAACAGTAGTGCTGGTGATGTTGTAAATTGATACTCAGCCAAGGAAAGGAATCCATTTTGATTATGGAATGGAGATGATAAACAATAGGCCATTTCCAAGTTACCTTTAGCCGTGTTCTCAAAGTGAGTCTTGGTGCTCATCCTTTCATATGAAAATGAGATTTCATTCACATGGAAATTAAACTCATTTTCAAATGAATGGTTGTGCACCAGACCTTGCTTTGATAGAGAGGCTAGGGCAACTTGGAAATGGGCAATTGCAAAAATTGATTACTATGTGAATAAACTTGAAAATGTGAGACTTGATTTCAAGAGTGATTCAGGATTTCTCTGTAATAATTTTACTCCATTCTGATGCAACTTGTTGGGGTATTAACAAGATTATTGTTGACCATCTTGAGCACGCACTCATTGCAGAATGTTGTTGATGTATTCATATGATTGTCACCCTTGCAGTCAAAAGAAGGTGGCAAAGGTTCTAAAAGAAGTGCTGATGAAAGTGATCCAGTCAGGACTCCATGGGAGTTAGCGAGAGACCAACATATGAGCCACCAAGTTGAAAACTACAATGTAAGGAAAACAAAAACTGAAGTAAGCCTTGTACAGTACTGACTTACTGATTCGCTTGTGACACATGACAGAGTTCAGTTGCTCTAGGTCTGTGTTTTGTGAAGCTTTAGGATGAAAGCCTTATTTTAGTAGAGGATCCAGGTGTGTTCAGAAGGGGAAGGGGTGGGGGTAGGGGTGGGGACAATAGGTGGCTTTGGGCCTTACATGTTTACATACCCCACACCATCCTCCCTTGTTGTGCTTTACTGTTTTTTTACATGTATGCATCAGCACTATGTCTTATTGACTGCCCCTTGTATAATATTGGATTTAAACTAATTTTCCTCTTTAGAAGCGGCACAGAGGAGAATCCCTAATGGACCTGCACACCAAGAAACTTGAAAAGCAAAAGGTATGAAAAACTGGCAAGCTGCTGTCAGTGTTTAGTCTTCAATAGCTACCTACGGAACAAAAGTTTGCCTGGAATCACCAAGGAACATGGCCATCATGAAGTCATGCGAAACTTTCTCAATTGTTTTATATCGTACAAAAACGTCAGAGCTCGTTTCCGATCCTGAATCTAATGTAAGAGAAAACGTCTCCACGATGATAGAATCCCAGAAAACTTTACTGTAATTCTTCCACACGCAAATGGTCGACTCTTTTTTCAGGTCGTGATATTAATGTTTCTCTCAATCTTGTCCTTTTTAACCGGCTTACAAGTTTATGCAAAGAAATGTTGTCTCAGATACTATTACATCACAAGAACGCTCTGTTTTTCCATCATAAATCGTCCGGACAATAAGTTAACAGATAAATTTACTGCTAAACGAAGAAAAAAACGTCATTGTTTGCAGTTTGCAGAAGTGAAACTTGTTTATACTCGTAAAGTCTGGGAGACAGTTTCTGTATTTCAGTCAGTGGTTGTATGTAACGCAAACTTAAATTGTTGTTTGTTTTGACAGAAGGAAGATAAAGACAAGCCTGTAGAAAGAAGACCATTTGACAGGGACCAAGATTTAAATTTGCCAAAAATGAGCGATGGGCAAAAGAAGTCCGTTATCCAGAAATCCAAAGAACTTGGATCCAGGTTCCAACATTCCCGGAGTGGCTCTTCATTCCTTTAGGAAGTCGAACAACTCGTGTCCAGGTTCTCATGACGTGCGACCCGATCAATTGTACAAGGAAAGACTGAAAACGTTAAACACGTTTTCTCTTGTGAATATATAACAAACATTGATCCAACATTTTATTTCTTTTTATGCCCAACAAGTTTTTCAATTCCATCGTCTACATTTATTGGAAATACACCTAGAAAAACGTTCAATTCAGTGCAAATACTCCGTGACCTGGTGCCTTGATACGAGCCGAGGAGAAGCGAGCAGTACGCAAGGAAAGAGCCGCCAGCACTAACAGCTCAGCCCCTACCCACTTCTGCCCTACCTGTGGGAGAGGCTTCCTCGCCCGGATTGGTCTCATCAGCCACCTCCGGACACACCGTAGAAATTTATTAACAAACTAGATGTCTTTGGTCATATTCGACTACGAAGGACAAACAACACTGCAGCTGTCTGACACAAGGTGGAATGGGTCCCACTGGGCTAGTTTGCAAGTCGTTTGCAGATCGAGGGTCTCCTAAAACCTGGTTTGATGTGTACACAGTTTACAGTAACAAATTCATCCAGCTAAGCAGTTTTTACAATCAAGAACATGTATTTTGATACAGCCAGACGTGGTGGTCCGGAGGAGACACGTTTTGATCACGACCGACTCAATGTTCGTTTATCGGAGTTTTGCAAATAGAAAAACATCGGATATAGGGAAGCAAATTGGGGGCAGTGAACGTAGTTTTCAAACTCTGCTTTCAGAGTCGCTCAATGTCTGACCTTTACCTCTGACGGACTTAGTGCCCCTTTCAATAAAATGCGGACTCTTAAACTCAAAGCTTAACCGACAAATGCGTTTTTCGCTAGCGTCAATGAAATGTTCGGCGGCTCCTCCCAGCTTCCAACTACTTCCGAGCACTGTTTCGTTGTCTGAACTGTGCTCAACGATTTGATTACCGCACGCTCGGCAGTAGTCGGAAGCTGGGACGAGCCGCCGAACATTTGATTGACGGTAGCGAAAAACGCATTTGTCGGTTGAGCTTTGAATTTAAGAGTCCGCACTTTATTGAAAGGCGCAGTAAAATCGGTAGGTTATGAAATAACTGACTGGTGTTTTAATTTCCAATGTCGCTCAAGGCTATTTTATGCCGTCACAAACTCAACCCGGCTAGTTACATAAAATTTTCATCGTTTTCTGCGTAAAGTTGGAAAAATGTTACACGGAGGTGCTAAGTTTAACAGTGAGAATTTCAATAGGCCCTTTGCACGACCCGGTCACCTGGTACAAAATCACATGCTGGCACGAATGTTGCACCGTAGGACTCCAAAACAAAGCAACTCATACCAGTCCACCTTGACCTACCTTTGTTTTGGAAGTCCCACTGTACAACTTGCGTCCCAGCATGTGTGATTTTGTACCATGTGACCGGATCGTGCAAAAGGCCTATTGTTCGGCGTAGTTTTTGTTTCCTCTGTCCATTTTCAGATTTTGTTGATAAGCAATTTTCATGTTTACCAAAGTATACTGCTGGTGAGTGTCAAATAGACTAAACTGCATTTCTGTAAACGCTGTAAAAGCCGCGTCGAAACCCTCCATCTAATATTTTTCATGAAAAACATGAAAGGCTAGCTTCTCTGGGAGTATATCGAAACAATTGAACAAATAGATTCCATGTTGCCGTGTACAGTAAGAGATCACAGATGACGTCACAATGTGGTAAGAGCGGAAAAGAAGGCACACGATGGCGATAGCCGAGTTTGGAGCTTTATATGAGCAGATGAGTTATGTAACCAAAGAGCGCGCTGACGAACAAAACCCATGACACAAATAATCCCTTCAGTGATTTGCGCATTTTGCTGTGTGGTTTTTACCAGGGTAAGGTAGACTAAAACTGTGAATGCTTGTGGGCGTATATATATTTTTTCTCTTTATTAGCCTGTACCCAAGTCGAATAAATGAGTTAAAAGGATGGTATCGCTCAAGGGAATCACTCTGTCTCAGTTCGTTGTTGGTTTTTTAATTGCCCAACACGGACTTCTAAAATTGATTTCACATTTTTTTAATACTAACATTCTACTTAAAACTGAAATAGCACGCCAGCTCAACTGAAGTAAATTATAATAAACGCCATGTTCTTCGGCTTCTTTTCTTGAACATTTTGAATGCGGCGATCAACACCACAATAAGAGGCTTCAGGAGTAGCACAAGGGAGTTGTGTCGTAGGGGAATCTTTGCTCACGGTATATTTACATTTCACCTGATTAGTATACGTCTTGCGTAGAGATGGATATACGCTGCAAATATTAAAAGAGCTTGTGAAACTCTTTGGGTGTCATGTAATGATATTGGCATTAGAAAAAGTCAAAATTTCTGAGCGGCAAAAGCGCTAATGAGGCCATTAATTTGTGGAATTTTGAGTTTTGAAGCCTGCAGCCTGCGTAGCAGGTTTATAAAGGGGAGGAGGAAGAGAATTCCCCTCCCCCTCCCCCTCCTCCGTTTTTTTTCCCACTCCCTCCCCTTTATACGCCTGCTACGCAGGCTATGAAGCCCGCGTCACATAAAACGTGTTTAATAAATTGGGCTCAAGTTGGTATGTTTTTTAGCTGGGTCAGGGACCGAAGCGATTACGCTAATGAGGTAACTAATGTGCAAAAAGATTCCCCTTGACACCATAACATAACACAGACAGAAGTCACACCACATACACAGGCTGAGCTTTTGATTTACCAAACAGTTTTTACAAACTACAACTGCGTTTGCCAAAACCAAAAGCTTGCATTCAATGAATTGTGCAACTCTCCTCAAGAAGCTGAAGGTATCTAAAGTACAATGAAGCACAAGTTTCGTTACATCACATTCACTGCATAACAGAGCATTAACATTGCTATGTACATGAAAATTCAGGATGCGCAAGGCCTGATTCTGCTATGAGATGTAATGTATATAATCAGCTAATTAAATAACAATCTGGTGTGACCAGCTGACCTTAATAAATACATGTAATCCTCACCCTAACCAACAAAATAATTTACATTGAAATACGCAAAAGTTTCAACTAATTTACATCACGATGGTTTTAGCATAAAGAGGAAACTTATATTACAAAAATAATAAAGCAACACTTACCATTCATAATCATTGTCAATCAGTAAGAATACAGTGCAGATAAAACGAAATTAAAATAAAGGACTGTGGAAAAGGCAAACAAGTACCATTTATATGTCACGCAACTGCAGGAACTTCGTTTTCAGAATGTCATTCCCAGAGAATTGCTGAAATCAGCAAATCTCTTATTTCTTATAATTATTTCGTGAATTATGCCGAAAAGTCTCGGAAGTAACGAGGCCCTTACATTTGCTTTGGGGCCAAGAAAGCACTGATGTCACTACAAACAGAACAAAAAGTAGTACGCTTCACTGATTTGCAGTTTTCATGACTGGATTGGATTTTTATAGCGAGGCTTCGCAGATCGTGATGATGAAAACTGCTTTACTACCACAGTACAAAACTGTGTACTTACAAGCAATTTTCTTCAACAGACCTTCAAAATTTAAGACGTGAAACATTGCTACAATTATTTGAGTTACTTCAGAATATTTTCGAAACATGCAGGCGTTTAATTGAGAGCGAAGCAACAGCATTTACACTGCAAACACTTGCCAGAAACAATGCTTATACACCAAGCAATTGATGGGTTTGAAAAGTCTAAGAAAATATTCGTCGTTATTTGCCTGGTGAGTCAAATATCATAAAATATTACACTTTTTTCCCGAGTGTATATCTTGCATTAAAATACCCATTCAATGTATAACTACATTTCTAATTTATGTTGTTCCCGGTAATTGACTGATAAAACCAATTCAGTTTCTATCTAGACTGCTTCAATAAATTCCAATTCCAAAATTCAATATTAAGTAGACATTGCCTTGAACATTTTTCTTTTTACAAGCACTTCAATCTACTACCTTAACACAAACGAATGGTTACGATATTATAAAGATTAAAAAGCTTTCACAACATAAAAAAATAACACTTTGAGACATTGACGTAAAAATTAAAAAGTAACTATATTGAATTAATAAATGGCACGTTTATGCTTCACCTTTTTGAACCTTGCATTTACAATGACTTTTGGTGTAAAGGTTCTATTCTACCTGCTTAAGTTGTACGTTCTTTGAACTATTTTATCAGACAATTAACTATACTACAAAGACATGTGACACCTCTACATCATTATTAATATATATATACATAAACTATTGTAAGATTAAATGACGTCTAAAGGGATCAGGAGATTCTTGAGTTGGTCCCCAAGGACATTTTCTGAAAACAACAACAAAAGAAGACAACATCTATTATTTATAAAAGCCGATTTGAAGCCAGAAAACTACACCATGTACTAGGTATTTATCTCCCCTCCCCCACCTCAGTTCAGTGGACTGGACATTTCGAGAGATAAACTTGGGACAACAAACAGTTACTAAATCTAACGTCAACTTGGGCACAAAAAGATGATAGAAATATGACTGGTTGAATTTCTACTTGAGTTAGGACAAACGTGGCGACGACAAGTTACAAATTTAATTGCCTTTTTGCTTGTTTATTCCGACAAGCATTTAAATAAATTATAACCTGGTAATTTGATCAATAAAACTTTCAGATGTACACTGATTCCAACTTACTTGCTGCCATGTCTTGTAAGACGATGTGTAATTTTACGGTGCTGTTTGTGCTCTTGCTCTAGGCTGATAATGTGTGAACGGATATCATTAATCGTCGCCAACTTTTGTTTCCACATTTCCGGGGTTGTTCCTTCGACTGTACAGTTTTCACATTGACTTTCGCATTCAGCTGAGGTATATAGAAATAAAGTTTTAAATAATGGTATTGTTAATATGAAGGTACACTATTTTTAAGAAAGAATAAAAAGAAAACATTGACTTTCGCATTCAACTGAGGTATAAAGAAATTAAGTTTTAAAAATAATGGGTATCATTCATATGTACCGGTAGGTACGGTATTTTGAATAAACAATAAGGGGAAAACTTACTTTGCAGCTCGTCCAGCTTGTCCAGGTTTATTAAGAATAAGGAGTGTATTCTCTCAATCTCCCGATCACAATCTATAGCTACGTTCACGCATTTAGGTTGAGGCACTCTAAACACAACAAAAAACAAACAGGGTTTGAGTAGGACACACATTACGGACAAAATCTTGGAGCCCGAAGAACAGGCTGTTTACCAGCACAAAGCACGTAATGTAGCGCACGCGCGTGAAGCGCAACGGCAAGCACATGCAGGGCGCGAGACTCGAGCGATTCTTGAGAGGTTTTTTGTCACCCTGTACTCGTGTATTCTGCCCTAGCTGTAAACAGCCTATTCTGCGGGCCAAAGTCTTGTCTTATATAAAACTGTATAACTGATTTTAAGCCTAAGGTGTGGGCAAGGACACAGCTGAGTAACCTAGCACCTTATTATCCGTTAGAGTGGAAAACAAAAGATCCGCCAGTTTTCAGAAAACCTAAAACGTTCCAAGATTGCACATTCACAATCCGATGCTAAGGAGTAAATTGATAAGACTTTGACACTCATATATGATAGAAAGTTCAATTATTAATCGTGTATCAGCAGTAGGAACGTACTCTGTTATGGGTGTGCATCCTGTGGCTTTCTCTGATCGTTCTTTACAGCTGCAAGAGAAACAAAAACACTTCATGTACTTCTTCCGCTTCCTACATGTTTCTGATTTACTATTGATTACAATGATTTCATAATGAATTTGTAAATCACAATAACTTCCTAATCGTCTTCATTTTCATAATCTGCCTGCAGACAAAAATGGTGAAGAGGAACCCTCATAATTGACACCAAGAGAAGAAGACTTTCAAATAAAGGCCTGTTTTTCACGAGCGCATACGTAAATATGTAAGCACGACAGGCAGATGCAGATGTTGATAATTAGCGCCAGAGGAAACATTCCTAACGAAAGGCTCTACTGAACAGCACCTGGAAACATCTTTTGATTAAGACTCATACATCTTACCATAGCCACTTGCCACATACAAAGGCTTCAGGGTGATACTTATGAACTCGGTGTGGATTGCTGTGACACACTTTACGCAGTGCACGGGTCCTATAAAACAACACATTATTAAAATTTCCATCAACGCCTCATCATGTTGTAGCCAAAAGTAATACAAAATACGGAATATATTACCATTGTAAGGAAGTTGGAAAATATGACAATAACTTTGTTTTTATAGTTAACTGAAATGGTAATGTGTGGCTGTGCAGGTCGTAACTATCAAACATTAAAATTTCTGTTCACGTTTTGACGTCCTTTCCTCGTTTAGGGTACAAATTGTCTCCCTGAGTTATCAGCGTTTTTCTTTGAATTCTCGGTCAAAAAGACAACTGTTTGATCTGATTTTGAGGGTTAAGCTATGTGCTATACATTTATATATATACGTTGTTGTTTGCTTTTTTTGCTTCTTTACTTACCATTCTCTTTCTTCAACAGTGTTGCTTGCCTGTACATATAACAGTCTGTCAGGCTGAATTATCTGTACCATCTAAAGTGGCAAAAAGCAATCAGACTTGTCTATTAATACATGTAAATTAAATAAAGCATCAAAATTGAGAATTCTATGGATAAAAAGCATTGCTTGATTTACTGGCAGCCATGGAGACTATAAATGCAGTAACAGATCTCTAAGCACACCTCGTTGTACCCTGCAAAGCAGAGATACCCTTATCTTTCTGGAAAGAGCAGGGAATTGTAGTCTTTCAAGGTATCCTTGTTTTGTGGTGAATGTTCTTACCAGTTTTAAATGGAAGGAGTCTTCTCCAAGGCTTTCTGCTCCCAAGATGTCACATACAGGAATGTGTCCAAGAGTAGCTTTGGTCTTGTCCTTGGAGTACGAAAGACCTTTGTTTGTCAAAACAAAGAACCTCTTTTTGAAATTTTTAAATCCTAACCTGCTTCGTCCTTGGGCTCGCTTTATCAACATCCTGATGAAGGAATCACAGTACAATTTAGAATTATCATTAGTCAGTAAAGAATAAAACGTGCCGTGTTAATGGCTCTGGAAACGTGCTTCAAGTTATTGGGTCAATGACACAACATACAATCTTACTTCTTGTCAAGATATAACTTGTTTTGCTTTTATCCCTCGTATATTTTATCTTGCTAGTTAACACAGTATTAGCAAAAATAATCACTGTTGTCATTGTCTTCGTCATCATTGTCGTCATCATCGTCATTGTCACTGTCATCGTCATCGTCATCGTCATCGTCATAATCGTCGTCATCACCTTTGTCTTTGGCATCATCATCACATTAATTTTGCCACAATAAAAAAAGATGTACTGTATGTACAAGTACAGTTTGAGCTCTGAAATGTCAAAGTTGTTGAGCATATAAATATCATCATAATTATTATCTTTATAATTCAGCCAGCTCACAAGTTACGAAGTGAATGTGCAACTCTATAACAGAGTCAGTGTGCAACTCACCCCTCCTTGAGAACAATGGTAGAGTCTACAGGCAGCCCTTGTGCTCTACTGGGTGATGAGATGATCTCCAAGAACTGAAAAGTTTAACAAAATAAGTTATTACAGATTAAAACTTAATTCTTCAACATGCTAAACACCGATGAGTGCCCTCCTAAAGAAATTCTCAACTGAGTATCATAAAGCCATAACTTAAGTAATCAGTTCGACCAATCACAAAGGAGGTAGAAAATCCATTAAAGCTATAAGAAGTAGAAGCAAATTCATGTAGCTGATGCAAAGCACAGCGCATGTGTGGCAGGTCATATCCTCCTTTTTTAACAATAATTGCATACAGCCCGTTACTGTAACATAGTAAGTTGCATAGTTGCATCCTGAATAAGCATGTAACTTACCCTTTTGACAGCAGTTATATGTTCCTGATCAAGAATTAATGACTTCAATGTTTCCATATAAGGTTCTTTCACCTGTCCACACTTTTTAAAGAAATAAAACACACCAGTAGTTAAGGATTTAATTTGTCTTGCTCAGTTATCCATACAATGCTCTTGATTTTAAGGGGAAAAAATGTATATCAACCTACCAGGACAGAACTCACAACATTTCCTAAACTTTGTATTGCCTTGGATATAAGTGTTAGAGTCCTTGCTGTCTGTGCATCCTAACACAACAACAAACAACAAAATACATCAACAGATTGTTTCATTGCACTTTGCATTGGACAAGCAATACGAATGCAAAGCATTCCTCATACTGTCAGCAGCAAAAACAGGTTCACACACATTCACTAGCAGACTTCCAGTATTCTTCAATCTGTGTCACATGGTATGACAAAAGTCTTACTACAGCCTAAGGAAAGAGCAATGCCATAGCTAGGCTTTTAACTCTTCCTATGTTGTACCAGCAGTTGTAACAGGCTACTCTCTTAACAAAGTGGATACATATCAAACTGCAGAGTCAGGGGATTATAAGCAGACTTAACAGACTGAACAGAAAAGTCAATGATTAAATAGTAATAGTTATTAATAGCAATATCAAAATAAAATGAAATAATCAAGAGAAATTCAAATTTCTGTAATGTGAAGTCACTTACCGGGTGTTCATTTCTCATCTGAAATAATTTAGGGTTTAAAATGGCAGGGGCAAAGAATCTCAGGAACACAAAACCACTCACTGATGTGTAACAGACATCCTCATCATCTGAATTAAAACAAAAGATAGACAGTTTGTCACAGAAAGATATGTAATACATTGCAAACATAGGCATCCCATGGTAAACAGATGGATGGAGTATGAAAACAAGCACAGAAACATCATGAGCACTCACTTTAATATTACCATAAAAATATTTAACATAGTTTACACAGCATGACATTAACACTGAACAACTGCAAACAACAATGTTGCTGTGGTAACAATGACCAAAAGAAACATTTCTTGCTTTGAATGTCTAAATTTGACTTTTAGGAAAAAAAGGGTGTTTTGCAGTGAACACTTTCCATATAGACAGCTGCATAATTTATAGCATATTATGTTATTACATGTATGGACAGAATAATAAGTCCTGACAAAGTTTGGTTACATTTTCTGATAATTCATTGTCAACTGTTGTGTCAAAGAGTTCTTTCTAACTTTGCAGACTCCCCAGAGAATTATGTGGTCTGTCCCTTTTCTCTCTGTGGCACTGTACTGACCTTTCCATTTAGTGAATAAAACAAAAAAAACTCAATTTAGACACTTCACAGCATAGCACAAGACAGAATCCTTTGGAATGGAGTGTGACTTTAACATATCATACAGACACATCTCCAGAACCAACATTTTGGCATGTCCCTCTGATGTCCATATTAGAGAGGCAGGTTCAAATGTATTTCAGTCATAAATTTAAATGTTATAGAGCATCTTACTTGGAAACTTCCAGGCAGCAGCTTCTCTAATGTTGTGGAACACCTGACACATGACAGTTGGGCATGCCATGGCTGAACAAGTGATGGCTGCAAATAATCTGTTCACATACCCTCGGAGATGAACCTGTCAATAAAACATTACACAATAACACTCAGTAATGCAATATGCTGTACAGAGGAGATACCTTTTGCAAGAAGCATGTTTCATTGGGAGGATATCAATCATTAGTATCACCCAACTAGTGGACTAATNAAAATAATTTACATTGAAATACGCAAAAGTTTCAACTAATTTACATCACGATGGTTTTAGCATAAAGAGGAAACTTATATTACAAAAATAATAAAGCAACACTTACCATTCATAATCATTGTCAATCAGTAAGAATACAGTGCAGATAAAACGAAATTAAAATAAAGGACTGTGGAAAAGGCAAACAAGTACCATTTATATGTCACGCAACTGCAGGAACTTCGTTTTCAGAATGTCATTCCCAGAGAATTGCTGAAATCAGCAAATCTCTTATTTCTTATAATTATTTCGTGAATTATGCCGAAAAGTCTCGGAAGTAACGAGGCCCTTACATTTGCTTTGGGGCCAAGAAAGCACTGATGTCACTACAAACAGAACAAAAAGTAGTACGCTTCACTGATTTGCAGTTTTCATGACTGGATTGGATTTTTATAGCGAGGCTTCGCAGATCGTGATGATGAAAACTGCTTTACTACCACAGTACAAAACTGTGTACTTACAAGCAATTTTCTTCAACAGACCTTCAAAATTTAAGACGTGAAACATTGCTACAATTATTTGAGTTACTTCAGAATATTTTCGAAACATGCAGGCGTTTAATTGAGAGCGAAGCAACAGCATTTACACTGCAAACACTTGCCAGAAACAATGCTTATACACCAAGCAATTGATGGGTTTGAAAAGTCTAAGAAAATATTCGTCGTTATTTGCCTGGTGAGTCAAATATCATAAAATATTACACTTTTTTCCCGAGTGTATATCTTGCATTAAAATACCCATTCAATGTATAACTACATTTCTAATTTATGTTGTTCCCGGTAATTGACTGATAAAACCAATTCAGTTTCTATCTAGACTGCTTCAATAAATTCCAATTCCAAAATTCAATATTAAGTAGACATTGCCTTGAACATTTTTCTTTTTACAAGCACTTCAATCTACTACCTTAACACAAACGAATGGTTACGATATTATAAAGATTAAAAAGCTTTCACAACATAAAAAAATAACACTTTGAGACATTGACGTAAAAATTAAAAAGTAACTATATTGAATTAATAAATGGCACGTTTATGCTTCACCTTTTTGAACCTTGCATTTACAATGACTTTTGGTGTAAAGGTTCTATTCTACCTGCTTAAGTTGTACGTTCTTTGAACTATTTTATCAGACAATTAACTATACTACAAAGACATGTGACACCTCTACATCATTATTAATATATATATACATAAACTATTGTAAGATTAAATGACGTCTAAAGGGATCAGGAGATTCTTGAGTTGGTCCCCAAGGACATTTTCTGAAAACAACAACAAAAGAAGACAACATCTATTATTTATAAAAGCCGATTTGAAGCCAGAAAACTACACCATGTACTAGGTATTTATCTCCCCTCCCCCACCTCAGTTCAGTGGACTGGACATTTCGAGAGATAAACTTGGGACAACAAACAGTTACTAAATCTAACGTCAACTTGGGCACAAAAAGATGATAGAAATATGACTGGTTGAATTTCTACTTGAGTTAGGACAAACGTGGCGACGACAAGTTACAAATTTAATTGCCTTTTTGCTTGTTTATTCCGACAAGCATTTAAATAAATTATAACCTGGTAATTTGATCAATAAAACTTTCAGATGTACACTGATTCCAACTTACTTGCTGCCATGTCTTGTAAGACGATGTGTAATTTTACGGTGCTGTTTGTGCTCTTGCTCTAGGCTGATAATGTGTGAACGGATATCATTAATCGTCGCCAACTTTTGTTTCCACATTTCCGGGGTTGTTCCTTCGACTGTACAGTTTTCACATTGACTTTCGCATTCAGCTGAGGTATATAGAAATAAAGTTTTAAATAATGGTATTGTTAATATGAAGGTACACTATTTTTAAGAAAGAATAAAAAGAAAACATTGACTTTCGCATTCAACTGAGGTATAAAGAAATTAAGTTTTAAAAATAATGGGTATCATTCATATGTACCGGTAGGTACGGTATTTTGAATAAACAATAAGGGGAAAACTTACTTTGCAGCTCGTCCAGCTTGTCCAGGTTTATTAAGAATAAGGAGTGTATTCTCTCAATCTCCCGATCACAATCTATAGCTACGTTCACGCATTTAGGTTGAGGCACTCTAAACACAACAAAAAACAAACAGGGTTTGAGTAGGACACACATTACGGACAAAATCTTGGAGCCCGAAGAACAGGCTGTTTACCAGCACAAAGCACGTAATGTAGCGCACGCGCGTGAAGCGCAACGGCAAGCACATGCAGGGCGCGAGACTCGAGCGATTCTTGAGAGGTTTTTTGTCACCCTGTACTCGTGTATTCTGCCCTAGCTGTAAACAGCCTATTCTGCGGGCCAAAGTCTTGTCTTATATAAAACTGTATAACTGATTTTAAGCCTAAGGTGTGGGCAAGGACACAGCTGAGTAACCTAGCACCTTATTATCCGTTAGAGTGGAAAACAAAAGATCCGCCAGTTTTCAGAAAACCTAAAACGTTCCAAGATTGCACATTCACAATCCGATGCTAAGGAGTAAATTGATAAGACTTTGACACTCATATATGATAGAAAGTTCAATTATTAATCGTGTATCAGCAGTAGGAACGTACTCTGTTATGGGTGTGCATCCTGTGGCTTTCTCTGATCGTTCTTTACAGCTGCAAGAGAAACAAAAACACTTCATGTACTTCTTCCGCTTCCTACATGTTTCTGATTTACTATTGATTACAATGATTTCATAATGAATTTGTAAATCACAATAACTTCCTAATCGTCTTCATTTTCATAATCTGCCTGCAGACAAAAATGGTGAAGAGGAACCCTCATAATTGACACCAAGAGAAGAAGACTTTCAAATAAAGGCCTGTTTTTCACGAGCGCATACGTAAATATGTAAGCACGACAGGCAGATGCAGATGTTGATAATTAGCGCCAGAGGAAACATTCCTAACGAAAGGCTCTACTGAACAGCACCTGGAAACATCTTTTGATTAAGACTCATACATCTTACCATAGCCACTTGCCACATACAAAGGCTTCAGGGTGATACTTATGAACTCGGTGTGGATTGCTGTGACACACTTTACGCAGTGCACGGGTCCTATAAAACAACACATTATTAAAATTTCCATCAACGCCTCATCATGTTGTAGCCAAAAGTAATACAAAATACGGAATATATTACCATTGTAAGGAAGTTGGAAAATATGACAATAACTTTGTTTTTATAGTTAACTGAAATGGTAATGTGTGGCTGTGCAGGTCGTAACTATCAAACATTAAAATTTCTGTTCACGTTTTGACGTCCTTTCCTCGTTTAGGGTACAAATTGTCTCCCTGAGTTATCAGCGTTTTTCTTTGAATTCTCGGTCAAAAAGACAACTGTTTGATCTGATTTTGAGGGTTAAGCTATGTGCTATACATTTATATATATACGTTGTTGTTTGCTTTTTTTGCTTCTTTACTTACCATTCTCTTTCTTCAACAGTGTTGCTTGCCTGTACATATAACAGTCTGTCAGGCTGAATTATCTGTACCATCTAAAGTGGCAAAAAGCAATCAGACTTGTCTATTAATACATGTAAATTAAATAAAGCATCAAAATTGAGAATTCTATGGATAAAAAGCATTGCTTGATTTACTGGCAGCCATGGAGACTATAAATGCAGTAACAGATCTCTAAGCACACCTCGTTGTACCCTGCAAAGCAGAGATACCCTTATCTTTCTGGAAAGAGCAGGGAATTGTAGTCTTTCAAGGTATCCTTGTTTTGTGGTGAATGTTCTTACCAGTTTTAAATGGAAGGAGTCTTCTCCAAGGCTTTCTGCTCCCAAGATGTCACATACAGGAATGTGTCCAAGAGTAGCTTTGGTCTTGTCCTTGGAGTACGAAAGACCTTTGTTTGTCAAAACAAAGAACCTCTTTTTGAAATTTTTAAATCCTAACCTGCTTCGTCCTTGGGCTCGCTTTATCAACATCCTGATGAAGGAATCACAGTACAATTTAGAATTATCATTAGTCAGTAAAGAATAAAACGTGCCGTGTTAATGGCTCTGGAAACGTGCTTCAAGTTATTGGGTCAATGACACAACATACAATCTTACTTCTTGTCAAGATATAACTTGTTTTGCTTTTATCCCTCGTATATTTTATCTTGCTAGTTAACACAGTATTAGCAAAAATAATCACTGTTGTCATTGTCTTCGTCATCATTGTCGTCATCATCGTCATTGTCACTGTCATCGTCATCGTCATCGTCATCGTCATAATCGTCGTCATCACCTTTGTCTTTGGCATCATCATCACATTAATTTTGCCACAATAAAAAAAGATGTACTGTATGTACAAGTACAGTTTGAGCTCTGAAATGTCAAAGTTGTTGAGCATATAAATATCATCATAATTATTATCTTTATAATTCAGCCAGCTCACAAGTTACGAAGTGAATGTGCAACTCTATAACAGAGTCAGTGTGCAACTCACCCCTCCTTGAGAACAATGGTAGAGTCTACAGGCAGCCCTTGTGCTCTACTGGGTGATGAGATGATCTCCAAGAACTGAAAAGTTTAACAAAATAAGTTATTACAGATTAAAACTTAATTCTTCAACATGCTAAACACCGATGAGTGCCCTCCTAAAGAAATTCTCAACTGAGTATCATAAAGCCATAACTTAAGTAATCAGTTCGACCAATCACAAAGGAGGTAGAAAATCCATTAAAGCTATAAGAAGTAGAAGCAAATTCATGTAGCTGATGCAAAGCACAGCGCATGTGTGGCAGGTCATATCCTCCTTTTTTAACAATAATTGCATACAGCCCGTTACTGTAACATAGTAAGTTGCATAGTTGCATCCTGAATAAGCATGTAACTTACCCTTTTGACAGCAGTTATATGTTCCTGATCAAGAATTAATGACTTCAATGTTTCCATATAAGGTTCTTTCACCTGTCCACACTTTTTAAAGAAATAAAACACACCAGTAGTTAAGGATTTAATTTGTCTTGCTCAGTTATCCATACAATGCTCTTGATTTTAAGGGGAAAAAATGTATATCAACCTACCAGGACAGAACTCACAACATTTCCTAAACTTTGTATTGCCTTGGATATAAGTGTTAGAGTCCTTGCTGTCTGTGCATCCTAACACAACAACAAACAACAAAATACATCAACAGATTGTTTCATTGCACTTTGCATTGGACAAGCAATACGAATGCAAAGCATTCCTCATACTGTCAGCAGCAAAAACAGGTTCACACACATTCACTAGCAGACTTCCAGTATTCTTCAATCTGTGTCACATGGTATGACAAAAGTCTTACTACAGCCTAAGGAAAGAGCAATGCCATAGCTAGGCTTTTAACTCTTCCTATGTTGTACCAGCAGTTGTAACAGGCTACTCTCTTAACAAAGTGGATACATATCAAACTGCAGAGTCAGGGGATTATAAGCAGACTTAACAGACTGAACAGAAAAGTCAATGATTAAATAGTAATAGTTATTAATAGCAATATCAAAATAAAATGAAATAATCAAGAGAAATTCAAATTTCTGTAATGTGAAGTCACTTACCGGGTGTTCATTTCTCATCTGAAATAATTTAGGGTTTAAAATGGCAGGGGCAAAGAATCTCAGGAACACAAAACCACTCACTGATGTGTAACAGACATCCTCATCATCTGAATTAAAACAAAAGATAGACAGTTTGTCACAGAAAGATATGTAATACATTGCAAACATAGGCATCCCATGGTAAACAGATGGATGGAGTATGAAAACAAGCACAGAAACATCATGAGCACTCACTTTAATATTACCATAAAAATATTTAACATAGTTTACACAGCATGACATTAACACTGAACAACTGCAAACAACAATGTTGCTGTGGTAACAATGACCAAAAGAAACATTTCTTGCTTTGAATGTCTAAATTTGACTTTTAGGAAAAAAAGGGTGTTTTGCAGTGAACACTTTCCATATAGACAGCTGCATAATTTATAGCATATTATGTTATTACATGTATGGACAGAATAATAAGTCCTGACAAAGTTTGGTTACATTTTCTGATAATTCATTGTCAACTGTTGTGCCAAAGAGTTCTTTCTAACTTTGCAGACTCCCCAGAGAATTATGTGGTCTGTCCCTTTTCTCTCTGTGGCACTGTACTGACCTTTCCATTTAGTGAATAAAACAAAAAAAACTCAATTTAGACACTTCACAGCATAGCACAAGACAGAATCCTTTGGAATGGAGTGTGACTTTAACATATCATACAGACACATCTCCAGAACCAACATTTTGGCATGTCCCTCTGATGTCCATATTAGAGAGGCAGGTTCAAATGTATTTCAGTCATAAATTTAAATGTTATAGAGCATCTTACTTGGAAACTTCCAGGCAGCAGCTTCTCTAATGTTGTGGAACACCTGACACATGACAGTTGGGCATGCCATGGCTGAACAAGTGATGGCTGCAAATAATCTGTTCACATACCCTCGGAGATGAACCTGTCAATAAAACATTACACAATAACACTCAGTAATGCAATATGCTGTACAGAGGAGATACCTTTTGCAAGAAGCATGTTTCATTGGGAGGATATCAATCATTAGTATCACCCAACTAGTGGACTAATTACTAATAGCTACTAGATGCTAGTCAAGGCCAGAAAGGACTCCAAAATCTACCCACAACAGCCATCATTTTACAACTCTGCTGGCATTAATTGATATCACTGTAAAAAATAAATAATATAAAATAAATATTTGTAAGTATGATTTAGTAAAATGCCAGCTTACCAAATTTGCTTCTAACGATTCTCCTTCTCTCAGTTTTGCTGGGTCAATTTCACAGCGTTTGTGGTCTTCAAAAATCTGCAAAAATTAAGCTTGGTGTCATAAACCATTTCTCTATCTACAAATATGATGCTAACTTTTCCAACAGCAACCAAAGGCAGTGTTATATTCAATCGTCAAATAAAGCTTTGGGCTGTTTCGCTTCAATCTCTTGGGAAGATAGTCAGAAATAGACAGATGTCAAGTAAAATGCCTATGTTTGAGAGAAGCTCATGAGCTAATGGGTTAAAATTTCAGTGGACATATGGAGCTGACTCACCTCATCTACAAGACATTTGATGGTATCATGAAGGTAGTACATGCCAGCATGTTTCATGAATTCATCAACTGACTTGGTTGCTACTGAATTGCCTCTAAAAAGTGTATTGGAATCTCTGAAGGAAAAACATAATTTTGTGGATAAGCTTATCAATGAACATGTGTCTTAGTTCACAGATTGATACACAAACTTACCACAGAAGCCAAAAACCCAGCTAAATCATCCTCTCCTCTTTAAAAATACCACACTTCAAATTTTATAGTACCGGTAATAATGGAGAATCGATCAATCATCAATCAATCAGTCAATCAAACAATCAATTATCAGAATTTGTCTTTCATACAAATTTCTGCAACAGCTAGACCAAAAGGAAAGACAATTTGACAAAGGGGTAAATTACTCACTTTGTATTTTGGACTTCATGATCTACAACCAGCTTAATGAAGTCTACAACCTACAATTATCAACAACATAATGTATAGTATTAGACCAAAAAAATTATGTTTATTAATACCTAGCTTGAGATGCACATTAGTCAAGGTTAAACTGTGATGAACAGGTGAGAAGTAACACATAATACAAACAACTACTCATGAAGAACCACAGGAACATAACTTGTTTTATGTATTCTGCACTTGGGTCAAAGTGGCCAGTGTTTTCTCTGTTCTCTAGTGTCAAGCAGGAGTATTGTTACCATGATTCTCTGGATCTTAAATTCCCCCAGTAAGTAGCAGTAGCAGTAAGGCTACTGTTAAGCAGTTATGATAAAAGTAGCTATTATCTACTTCTGGATGAAGAGAGTAATTTATTGTATAGCTACCCAAAGCTGGACTGAAAAGGTTTTCAATCAAATTATCTGATGGACATTTTTGAACCCAAAGAAGGCCTTGCAGATACTTAGTGAAAGGTGTAAATTAAACTTTTCTGGCTATCAACATTTAAATCATTTTGAGAAAACTAAAAGAGCAGAGCAAACCTGATTATGATGAGAGAAAACCCTAACAAGTGACCTCGCCACTGAAGCCTTGTCCTTCACAAGATCACCAAGGATATGAGCAGCAGTGGGCTGCACATCCTATTAAAAAAACAAACCAAACAATATAACATGTACATTCAAATTATTGGTCAAAAAGTTATTCCTTCAACTTGGTTTCAAAAAACAAAAAAAACTGCTAGAGATAAATGATCACAGCTATAATGGCTTGTAGTTGTTGTTGTTTTGTTTTTGCATGTTATTGCAATTGTGCATTAATTAACTTCTGTACCTGACCATCCTTGATGCCTAAAATTGTTTCCCTCAAAGGATCATAAAAACTTGAAGGGAAGACATAGTCTTGAGTGTGGCACACTCTAAGTCTCAATGAGCCTAGTTCTTGTTTGCTGGGAGGGTCATTTTTATCCTCACGAGGTCCAAGCCAATACCTGCAAGAGCAAGCAAGAAAAAACAGCAACATGATGATCAGAATCTCAACTTAGTTTGTTGTTGTTGTTGTTCTTGTAAAATTCCAACTTGTTTAAACAACAGTGCAGTATTTGACTTTCACAGCTAGTGTACAAGCCATGTTTAAAAAAAAACAAATGGTCAGATTACATCACAATTTTTTAGTCCCACTGTACAAAGTCTTCTAGGAAAAACATAAGAACAAGTAAAACTGTAAATTTACTATCAAGCATTTTAAAGGAATATTTACTGCAAGTAATTTCATCAACTACGGTTTGGTTTACAATTTTAATCACATGTTATGGGACAGATGTGTATCTCACTACTACGTAACACTCACCATCCTTCGTGCATTGATGACAAGTCACATTTACTTAGAGGAACCCTGACCTACAGGTCGATAAGAACAATGGCACATTAAAATCTGGCATCAAACTAAAATATGCTAACTTATCACTAGCTTGACGTATGTTGTGACTGATTTCTTAATAAAGACTTCTACTACTACTACTAAGCCATTGCAACTAAAAATCTTGACACAACCATGTCATTTAAAACCAGAGCTAATGTTTAATTTTCTTGGACTTTTCAAGTAAATAGCCTAACTTTCCATGCTCCTGTCTTTCACTTAAGACAATTTACTGTAGGTACCACTTATAAATTAAATCACCACCACTTACTTCTCCTAAGAAGATATCTTCTCCTATAAGACTTGCACTCCATGCTGCACATCTAAAATGTCAATCAAAAGAAAACTTATTTACAACTGCATGTTTCTTTTAAATTAATAATAAGTTTATGACTAAAAATACTATGGCATTATCGTGATAGTTTATGATCTGATATCAGCATACATGAATACTATTGTAATTATATTATAACACACCTCAAGACCAAACTTTCAACATCATCATCAGGTATCTGCAAAACAGAAATTTTAACAATGATAATGGAGTCTGGCTGAGGAACCCTTTGATTTGGATAATGCAATTAAAGAGTAATTTTTTGGGATATTTTTATTTTCATTTTGTTTTAGTTTTCTATATTTTGGGGAAGTTTTTTATAAATAAAAATATATTCCACTTGCACTCATTTGATACGAGATGATTGTCGCAACTTGGTGAAACGTGCCTCTTTGGCTCATATCCAAAGCATGCCTGTTGAATAAATTGTTAATTACTATTGTTATACATCCTTTAACGCTTGCTTTACAAGAGGCACAGTCTCTACATACAGGTATTTTCTGCTGTTGGCGGTAATTGCATACCTCAAAGAGAAATGATTCTTCAAACTGAGGATTTAAAGTTCTCTTCTTGACTTTGGTCTTTTTAGGCTCTGACCTGCAGAAGCAATTAAAAAAGCAGGTACGTTATGTGACATCTTGCAAATTATAATACAGTTGGATCCTGCTAATTTGTACTCAGTTATTTCAAATTCCCCATTATTTTGAACTCGAAACCCTGGGATTTGCCCTTCACAGGTCTTCTGATAGGGTGCAATAATAACACAGAAATGACGCAAAATTTTCGGGGCAGATTATGCCACAAGAACGGGTTATTATGTGATAAAATATGCAAATTATGCAATATTTTCCAAGCTATTTTAAGCTTGTTTTACTAGGTTTAAGAACAAGAAAACCATTTTTGGGCTGCTCCAAAGACAAATTGAACATCAAGGAACAATAATTAAACATCTATGGGCATATGGAATAAGAAAAGACTTGAGGTGCTTGCCACCACAGAATTCCCAAGATGATCTATTACAACGACGAACAAACCCTCTTGAACAGCCTATCATCCAAGTGAAAGAGGTATCTTTTTCAATCTTTTAAAATTAAATTTGGCAGGAAGTGCCACTCAGTCTTTTCAGTCTAAGAAACAGCAGGCATTTTCACTTATCCGCAAGCGGCATTTGTTTCATTCCACAAATTCCACTGAAATAAACATTGCTTGGACCACATAAATAAATAAATAAATAAATAAATATATAAATATTCATTTATATAGCGCCATTTTCCATTAATTGTCCACGGCGCTTTACAATACTTTAAA